ATCACAAATATCCTAAAATAATAAATTAATGTTTCATCTGTTAAAGTTGTGATGATTTTGTGCTGTGACTTATCAACTAAATAAATTAAATGTCTGAAACATGGGATTATACATGTACACGTGTACAGGGTGAGTAAAAAAAACGAAACGCAAATGTCGGGACCTTTGCTTTAGTGAAGTTCTGCATGCAGCACTTTCAAACTCAAGGATATGAAAGACAATTCATAAGCTTTCTTTTTGTACAAGAATGAAATCACTCATGTACTTTTCAAGTTTTAAACACAACCACCGAGTTTTAAACACAACCACCGTTTTAAAGCTCTGTCCACGGATCGCAAAAAGGTGTGCGTTTTTTTCAGCAAAACGAAAACAATTCACACATCCTTATGTGATTCGTCTTCGATTTGCTGAAAGAACACTGAACTTTTTTGTGATCCGTGGACTGTTGAATGATTCTTGTACTACAAGAAAGCTTATGAATTGGGCTTTCATATCCTAGATTTTGAAAGTGCTACATGCAGAACTTCACTGAAACAATGGTCCCGACATTTGGTGTTTTTTTTTTAACTCACTCCGTATGTATTTGGACTTGTCTCACCATTATGTACATAAATCCTGATGGCTTTGCGGATTTCCATTGGAGTTCCAATTTACATGTACCAACAAAAACGGCACAAAAATCATTTGGGCCTCAAAATATATAAACACACAGTGTTGTCCATGTACTTCATATTCAGCCATTTATTTTCATAAAATATCATCTATAAGCATACTTTGAAAAAATAACCACATCAAAGCGCCACTGCAATCTTTGGATTAAAAATCGCTGCATAGAAAAATGAAAATGTCTTATTCTTGCACACATTATTGAAAAAAATACTTATATCATACACTGTAAATTAAACAATTTAGTTTGCAAATTGGATCAGATGTGTTTCTGATTAGTAAAATGATGAAAAGTTATGATAACTGAGGTATTTTGTTTAAACTCGTCTAAAGATCTTGAAATCTGATTTACAAAGGTTCAGCTTGGTGAACATAAAAATGGATATACATATTTGTGATTTAGAATTCCTTAATTCCTTAAACATTATTATTACATCAGCCTCCGTGAACGCTGGAATTCTAAATCCCTGTGCACCATTGACCGTACATATTCTGGATATCATCGCAGTCTAGCTCTATAAACAGTGGACATTTTCTTTCGCTTTTGTATACAACTTAGCTCAGGTCAAGCAAAAGAATTGGTATGGTCCCTTAGGCACCATGTCAATTTTTCACTGTCTCTCCAGTTCCAAATAGCATTTTCAACAGTTTCTGATGTCAAAGTTCAAGACATTTTTCTATACAAAGCCACAAGGTAATGTAAACAAACAAGTAGTTTAGACAAATCAGCTTTAACATGAAGCACCGTGAGTACAATGCACAAAGTATGAATTCTCTCATCTAACACTTGGAATTCCATTCTAGTGGATAAATATGAGAAAAGTATGACTGCCTACTATACTCTAGAGCTATTCCTGTATTCGTACATTTTCTTTAACACAGTGCATGCAATAGACCTTTTATCATGCTGCCACCATTTCAGTCATGTTCCCTGTATCCAGTAACAGAACTGAAAGATAATGTTTTTGTGCAAAAAGGAACCATCAGTCATGTTCCCTGTATCCAATAACCAGGCATGCAACTGGGAAGTCACAAAAAAAAGAGGAAATTCAAATCTTTCCAAGACTTTGTACAGTGTTTTTCTATTTTCAATGGCACACATTGGAAGTGAAAAAAGAGGAAATCAGCTGATCCGAGGAAAAGTTGCATACCTGAATAACAGAACTGAAAGATAATGTTTTTGTGCAACAATAGGAACCATACTATTTTTCCTTCCCGCCTCGCTTTGGTTATGTTGATTTGAATGGGAAAAAAATCACATGGTCGCAACACGATAATGGTCTATACCAAATTTAGATTGGCAATGCTACTTCCATAGGTTTCATGAGAAACATATTGTTTGTAAAAAATGACAAAGTTGCCATGACAGTGTCATAGCATCAACCTTGGTATCACTTGCTTGAACAATGTAAAAATAATTTATCATAATTTGTTTCAATGGGACTTTGTTTACGTCACAATTAAATAAATAGACTTAAGATAGAATGAGGATATGATCTGTTTGTTCTGGGTTCAAAGTTCACCCCAGCAAATGCGAAATGAAAATGGAAATCTTTTCTGTAATACTGAGAACAAATCACAGTCTCAAAATAAATTTCGGGATTTGCAAAAAAAATAAGGCTTGAAAAGGTGAATATTACTGAAATAAGTTACATTGCAGTGATGTGTAATCAGCAACCAATTATAACTTCATAATGCACAACTTTGATAAGGAAATTTAGAAGACATTCCGTGTAAACCTAACTTTCTTAAATTTGAATTGATTGATGAAATCCCTAATGAAAATTATAGAAGATTGCAGGATGGAGGTTGCAAGACAAATTACAGTCGAATCTCGTTAGTACAAACTCTGTTAATACAAAGTTCTGGTTATAACAAACATAAAGCCTTAGTCCCGACTGTGCATTTATGTGCACAATGAACAGGACTGATGTTCCTCTTAATACACAATTCTGATATAACAAACAATTTGGCTAGGTCCGAACAAGTTTGTATTAATGAGACTCGACTGTACAATGTTGTGACAATGTTCAAGTGGACAAGAACGATCCGACATGCAATAAAATCAACCCAATTTTTTTGGTAGCATTATATTCAAAGCACAGTTATAGGCCTACATGTACAGTAGACTCTCGTTAATACAAACACTGTAAATTACATTTCTGGTTTAAGCAAACATAAAGCCTTGGTCCCGACTGTGCTTTATGTGCACAATGAATGGGACCGGCACTCACAAAATTCTGATGTAACAAATATTTTGGCTGGGTCTGGCTGAGTTTGTATTAAGGAGAGTCGACTGCATACCACCTACATGTAACTAATGGGCCATGTGCGCGAACACTTTTTAGAGCTCCAGTTACATGCACATTTTGTCTACATTTATCAAACCTGAAAAAAAAACTAGCAACTGTTATTGTGCTGTTAAAGGGAATATACATCATTTGCTTTTACTGTAATTTTCAGAAATGGATGGAATTGGGGGGTTGGAAATATATAGCAAATATAGTTACACTGACATTTTTGAGGTTTTGGGTTCAAAAATGCTATAAACACCAAGAAAAATAATCATTTTCCTGTAGTCTGGTTCCCTGACTCCATATAAGAAGAAACAGAGCAGTTTACATACATTGGGGAATTGTAAGGTCAGGGAACCAGTCTAGCTGGCTCGTACCCGTTCATAGGTTTGTAATCGATTGCAAACAAGTGCGATGGTCAATTGGGGCCAGTATTTGCAAAAAAAAGCCAGTTTTTTCCAACGCTGATCGGCCGATCAGCGTTGGAAATTGATACAAAAATACCACTTTTCTTGAAAATGACAGTATACCAGGTGCCATGATTTTACAGGATGCTTTACACTGTCATTCACTAACAGTCCAGCAAGGTATTTCAAAATGATTTGGTAGTTTTATTTATTGATGTTTGCAAATGTTGTATTTTCCCTTTAATCTAAACCATTGCCCTAGTTACAGACGATGTAATTTTTTTAAGTGGGTCTATGCAATTGCATTTTAGATGAACTGCTCAGAATTGGCAAATATCCAACATGATAAATTATGTCACCACTTCTACAAGCAATAAGGTGTTGAAGAGCACTAATTGAACATGAAGAGCAAATCAAACAGAAGTGCTGCTAGCACTCTCGAGGTTTTCATGCTTACAAGTATGAGATGACAGGTGCATTGAAATACAGGTGATGCCAATAATTAATTACAAGCAGATATGCAAACACCGAAATGAATTACTGCTCATTAAAAGGCTTCTTTGAATTTCACATTGTAAGGCTATGTTCATGATCCGCGAACAAGTACATGTACTGGAATAAAGGAAATCATATCTTTGTTGGAAAGAGGTGGGAAAGCTAATTGAAATCTGTTCATTTCATAAAACGCTAATTGGAAGTATTTGGAATTTCATTGTTGCAATTCAATATGCCAAGTCTACATTATCACTTTATATCAGCACCACAATTTAAAAATACTGCAACAGGAAATAAGTTCATTTGTACAGGCAAGCTGCATATTTTACCAAATTAATTTTGGTTAATTAAAGCATGACACCGTAACAGTAAGTTGGTGACAAACATACATGTACATGTATACCAGAAAATAATTCATGTATGACTATTACTTGAATTGAAAGCACGTTGTTTAAACTCTTATTGATTAATTATGCAATAAAAATATCAATATATCTGAATTTAGATCTCTTTTTTCTTAGTTTCATGTCCAATAAGTTAGAATTTTGAAAACTTTTTAAATTATTGGTACAGACCTGTAATCCTTGTGTTTCAGTTTCTTGCTGAAACCCATCAAGACCTGCCAATACCTCTTTCCAACATGAGTTAGTCCTTTAGGTAGTCCCATAAGACCTTACAATACCAGACAATCACTTGAAAAAAAAAGTCTGCACAAAACTTCATCTTGATTGTCTTTTACAACTTGTACATTCCAGGTTTGTCTTATAGTACGTACTTTTGTGGCCCCTAAAAAAATCCAAAAATATACACTTAGCATACATAAAGGTATCAATTTTTGTGGCCTTCTACAAGCCTGAAATTAAGCATTCCAATGATAGTGCATTGTAAGGCCAAAAAAAAACTGCTTCCGATTACATGACATTTGAAAATAGAATAGGTAGTTCGGAATTGTTTTTTTTTTTTTGGCCAATTTTTTTTTATGTACGATCATATGGAGGCGTCTGTGTGTAGTCAAGGGTAAAAGGTAGAAATTGATGGTTTTGGGTGTTTTTTTCTCATTTTTCCCATAAAAAAAACTAGGGTAGGGATGTCAGAATAGGGTAGGTAGGGAAACCGGAAGCAGGACTATTTTTGGGGGGGCCTAATTTACGTCTTGCCATTGGTAATCACAGAACAGCACTCAGTTCCTTATACTTTATCCTAAGACTCAGTCCTTAAATCTGCTTTGTATTTACAACTTCTCCACACTATACTAAGTTGTGTCCAGGCACCCTTAAGGCCAAAATTTTGACAGCACCACATGTAACACAACTTCGTACAAGCATTACGTTATGTACATCATCTGGGAGATCTGTGTACATGTACATGTAGCTCCGATGCTACTAAAGTGAAATTACCTAAGAAAAACCTTACCACTGAGTCTCCGCGATCACTGCTTGGTGTTCAGGAATCTCCTTAGCCTTTCCACCAGCACATGAAAGTTTTGCTTGAACAGTTTGTCATTGCTCAGGTCTATGTGGCTGGCATGGGCCAGAAGTTTCTTGATAGGCGACGGGCCCATGTCTGGCGGCCACGCCACGAAACGAAGCAACACCGCGATCACCGGCTTGTGCAGTGCCTCCGCCAGCATCAAATCCTTGATGCCGTTGTCGGATTGCAAGTACCGCGGCGTGATGCAACTCAGGACGATGGTGGAGGATTTCATGTTTCTCTGGATGTTGCTTTCCAGAGTCTCGTGTATGGCGTCCGAGTGGATCGGTGCGGATGCCGCGTTGCTGCGCGTGCTGGCTCCCGAAGTGCCGCGTTGCTGTGCGATGGTCGGGCTGTTGTCCACCCAGCATGAGATGCCATTGTTCTCTAGGATTCGCTTGATTTCCTGGACTTTGTTGTGCATGTCCCACTGGTAGCTCAGGAACACCTTGGCATCTGACGACCCGTTGCTCACTGCTGAACCTGTACCTTTATTTTTTTTTCAATTGAAATCAAATTGAAAGAACATAAACTACTTGAAAGGAAAAGTTTTATTTTGAACCTAAGGCCTGATTAGAAGAAGGGGGAAACCTCTGTCAATTATTCAACATGTTTGCAAAAACACTAAATATGAAGATATAGGTCCTACAAAGCTTTAATAACTAGGAAGACGCCTATTGTGTGGTTTACAGCGGTATATGTGATGCGATCAAGCTACATGAGTTGTTTGTCGGGAATTTTCATTTGGAGATACAGGCCACACTAGGGCCACTTCATCACATCACTTCATCACATCTCTTGGTGTTCCGACTTCCCAAATTTTTTTAACTAAAGATGATACAAGCATGCGGTTTTACAGCAGTAATGCTGAGATTGTGCTCTTTTCAAAACTGTAATAAAACGTTTTTTGACCAGGGTCGTGACAAACGACTTAGCTTGATTGCATCACATATTCAAACCAGTAAACAACTTAAATTCATGAAAACATTCAAACACAAATTTCTCAGGCAATAACCTAGAGGTTTCTCTTCAACATGTTCTGGGAAAACGGAGCCAATTATCGTCACCAATTTTCACATTGCAAGAATGAATAGTGTTTCTTTTTTAACTGTCCTGCAAGGCCCTTAGCTGTACCATATTGCTACAGGCCAGAAGGCAAACACTCATTAGAAAAGGCAACAAAGGAACCAATCACAGATGTTTGCTGCTTCTGATGAGATTCCTTGTTTGATTTGGGACACTGTCTACATTCTTCAACCTCCGAAACAAACAGGAGTACAAATGTGTCAAATTGCTTCAAGAGCAGAAACCACTTTACTTGTTTGCACATTGTGTTGCCAACAGATATGCACACTCATTAGGTTCATGTTTTGTACAGGTGTGTGTACATGATTCAAACAATTAAAGTTTACAGGCTGATATCAGTCCTTCTGATTTGAGGCGTGTGATCACACCCCCACGCCATCACACGCCTACAAGCTTCCCGAGAAGTGCGAATAATCGCACGCCTGAATCCCTCTGTACTGCACACCTCGGCATACATTTACGGCATAAATACTTCATAATTTATGAAAAAAAAGTATGTCAGTGAAGAAAAAGCGGCTTTAATTTGTAAACCAAGATGAATAGTACATTATAACAAAAATACCAGATTGTTCAGTCCCAGCTTGGACCACAGAATCACTCGCCTAGAAAAATCACACGCCTAGAAAAATCACACGCCTAGAAAAATCACACGCCTAGAAAAATCACACGCCTAGAAAAATCACACGCCTAGAAAAATCACACGCCTAGAAAAATCACACGCCTAGAAAAATCACACGCCTAGAAAAATCACACGCCTAGAAAAATCACACGCCTAGAAAAATCACACGCCTAGAAAAATCACACGCCTAGAAAAATCACACGCCTAGAAAAATCACATGCCTAGAAAAATCCAGGTGTGCCTTTTTCCACACGCCTGTGATTTTCAAATCAGAAGGACTGTGACATCAATCAAACATGTAGAAGGGAAGAGCAATAACGATCTGTGCAAGCTTAAACTCCTCACATTTTGATGCCACATAAGATGATGATCACGTCATCTCTTTTTTTATCACACCTAATTTTCACATATTTTCTTCAGGTTCAGTACTTGACTACCCTTCTCCAAAACACTATTTACTTTTCCATGTTTTCCAAGCATCGTTAACCCCTTGTTCATCGAAAATTGAACGATACAGTTTTGGCGTGAGGGCCAAATTATGGTACGACATGCAACATTTTTACACAAGATTTGAAGGTTTGCATGGGGAAGGTAAAGATTAAGCACCACATGACAAATCTCTTCTAGGAGTTAGTGAGGTTCTGAAAAGAACCTGGCCGGGGGGGGGGGGGGCCTTAACATTTCGGACAGTTAAAATTAAGATGCGCTCTGTCAAATTTTGTCTTGTAAGTCCACGCTAGAGCAGCGAAGGAATCTTACACCCTCTATATGTGTCAGCTAGTTCATTTCTCAGAAGTTCAAACTAAGCATGTTTTTTTCTTACCTTGGGATGCTGCAAGGACTTGCAGGGGTTTGAGACCTTCACTCATCCGATTCAGATAGGTCTGCTCCAGGACAACTCCAGGCACCTTGCGTAAGGGCTTGATGTGATGCTCCAGTATGTCCATGCTCTCACTGTACATCTTGGTCTCAAAATCTACGGCTGGAAATTCACCTGCACGCAAGATGGAATTCTCATGAGAAATGCAAACATAATTGAAGAATCATAGCTGTTATTGGCAAGAGGTTTTCTGTCACAGTTCATTAAGCGTGCAAGTCTCGCCAGTTAACATTAACTTTTCATGTGAATGTCTTAATGGTACCAAACACTGACTAGTGTAGTCACACACTCTCGTATTCAAATAATTTACCAACTTGTTATCTGTGTGATCCATTAACCGGAAGTTGACGTAAAAATTTGTCATTTCATAAAAGTCATAAATTCACAACATTTTCAATATGTTATTAGGGAAAGATTTCCATATACGAAGTTCACTTATTTTCCTCTGTATTGACTAACAAGCCCCCAGATAGCAATTTCATGTCATCAAAGTCAATTTGTGCAGTGAGAAAATACAAGCATTTTTTACACGGGGTGTTGAGTGAACTTCGTATATGGAAATCTTTCCGTTATTAATTGTAATGACTGCTTCTTTTCTTTCAGAGAAACCAATTATTGCCTTTCACTGAACAAGCCTAGTCAGGGCAAAAAATAAATGCAAAAAATAGGAGGTTGCACACATTGTAGATCCTATACATGGTGCCCGGATGTACTCTAAAGTCTCGCAGGTTTTTGAGGTCAACTTGCACTCAAATACAGGGTGAGTCAAAAAAAAGCGGAACCCAAACCCCAAAAATTATATTTCATATTTAAAAAAATATGTAGCACCAAAATAATAACAACTGGAAAGCCAATTTCATGAGGTACTTTTAGATGAAAAATTGACTGAAATTGGTCAATCCGTTTGGAAAATATCACCATTTAAACACAATGACCCTAAAACCCGTCTCGTCCAAAAAATGCGATTTCAAGAATCGTCGTCGCAATTGTCTTTAAACATCACCAGCGATAAAATCTCAGTTTAAATGTTAAAAATATTCAACAGAATCCCTTTGGAGACCTGTCCTTTACAAAAGTAAATTTTTATAAATCATATTGTTTGCCTAACCAGGGTTGTTAATAAAGATATTGTGTACTACATTTGGTGACAGTTGTTGAAACAAGTATTATGTGTCATTTTCTTTGTCAAATCACACAATGAATTGCTTTTTTGGACGAGACAGGTTTAAGGGTCATTGTGTTTAAATGGTGATATTTTTTGAACGGATTGAACAATGAGCCTACAGTAATTTTTTCATCTAAAAGTAGCTTATGAAATTGCCCTTTCAGTCATTATTGTTTTTGGTGCTACATATTTTTTAAAATATGAAATATATTTTATTGGGTTTGGGTTCCGCTTTTTTTTACTCACCCTGTATTGTTACTTGACTTCAAGACTGGATGACTTGTAAAGGCTAAATAAAAATACACAGATTTATCACCACTTAAACCAGAGTGAGTTTTACTACACAGCCACTTACCGTTTTAATTTTTGGCTACAAATTTTGCACCAAAATAATTAATTAGACAACTGGTATAAATTGGTAATTGCAAGTACACGTACAGTGTAAGTTAAAAAAAACACAAAAATTTGCTCACCTATCACTGCTTTTAGTGAGGGTCGCATTTTCTGCCAGACATTCTTGAACATGACAGTCACCAGAGACTTCCCCAGCCAGTCGGCAAACAGCACCTCATGGAAGATAAACGGGGACGCTGTCGCTCCTTCAGTCAGGAGGATAATGACGTGTTTCGCCGTGGCTATGAGGGGGCCGTTAATTGCTAGGAATTCTTCTTTGGACTGTCCCAGCTTCTCATGACAACAAACCTTTAAAACAGGAGGAAATTGCCAAAAAAAAGAGTTATAAGCAAGTTAAAGTCAGAGTCCATCATTTGCAGGTATTCCAAAAGTAACTGGCGTTATTATTGTTGAAAAAACATACTTGGTTAAAAGATAGTAAGGGGACTAAACCTCCTGTGAAATTATTCTCTCTGGCATGCTGTCATATAATTGAAGAAATCAACGAAAGAAGGCCTTTCCAACGGTGCTTCTTAAGACGCACGGTAGGAAATTCAAATTAGTAGTTTGTTTTGTTATTCGGCAAAGTGCACGCAAGCATTGGCAGGACGCACACGCGCGCGCGGTTGCTGTAATTCGTCGGATCAGTGCGCGACATCGCGTAGCTGCATTCGGCTCAGTGATAACGTGTCTCGAACGCTGAATTCAGGCCCAATTCAAAACATGATTCAGCAACTTTTGATTTGAAATCGAGATCCTAGAATGTATATACAGCTGAATCTATACAGCTGAATCTGAGCTGAAACTTCATCAGGTTAGTTGTTCAGCACCCTTCTTCAGATTTTCAGTACGTTTGTTGCTGCAAACGAACAAAATGCACAAATTACAAATGATGGACTATACCCGTAAACAAGGATTTTTTTATAATTTGTCAAATTTCTGTTTTTGCCTGAAAACAGCTGTTTACATGTAGGTACATGTAGGGCCTATTGTTTCATTTTAGGATTGTTCTGTACGTCAGTTTTTAACTAAACTAAACTCACTTGCAGATTTTTCTTCTTCAAATCCTGTTTAAGATTCTGTGCTAGTCTCACGTCAGCCGGATCGTACACCAAGTACACATTGTCAGCACGATTCTTCTGAGTCCTGGCTCTAAGATGCCAACTGTCTGGAGCCTTGTGTTCCTTCTCCAGTATCCCAATAATCTGCTGCAGTATTTTCCTCCGGACCACGCGGCTGTCGATGCCCAGAAACGCTGCCATGTCCTGATCCATGATGGACATGAGAAGAAAGCCGTCCATGCCCGCTTCGGCAAAACTCTGCCGGTAGAACTCCCTGATCCCCATGTGATACAGCCAACTCTGAAGGTCGTCCGAACTCCACTTGCACAGCTTCTTCTTCTTGTATTCCTCCGTGTAGTCTGAATCTGGTACGTGCGGAAGGTGCGGAGCAAAAATCGAAGCGTAGGATTCGACTTTCTCCATCAGGGAGCCGATGATGACCGAGGCTTTCTCCGAAAGACTTAGTCTTTGGTATCTCGGATGAGACAGCCTGACAAGATCTTCAAGGAAGATGCTATACTGTTGAGGAATCTCCACATCCTCACACAGTACAAGAAAGACCTTGGGAGGGGCAGAAGATGAGGGGACGTGTCGCTCAAGGAGGCAACGGAGCTCGTACACAGACACAGGGCACTGGAAGTAGCTGAATGATAAGAAACAGATGGCAGCTCGGCATTTCTCCACTGCCTCCATCCGCTGTGAAAACCACGACGGACTTCCGGTATTCTCCTCATCCTTATCAAACCAAATGTCTTCAATTAAATCGTTCTCTTTGAACTGTTTCACTGTCTCGCAGACAAGCTTTCGTTCAAGGAAGCCTCCATCCGGTGAGTACGAGATAAAAATGCCCTTCTTCATTTTCTTGCCAACTGCCATTTTCCCACCATCTTGCTTTCTGTTCTTAGTCCTGTCTTTCTTTATTCTTGGCTTGGGTAAGATTTCTTTGTTCGGTTTGACAGGAGGAATGTTTTGGACTCCGTCTCCACCGCCTGTCTCCATCGGACTTGGCTGGTCGGCTGCATTTTCTTCCTGTTCCGCCCTCTTCTCATTAGCAACATCCATTACATTTTCTTTGCCTTCCTTAGTATCTTCCATTTTTTCTTCCTTGTTCATCGCATCACTATTTTCTTGAGTGGTTTCTTTTAGCTCCTGCCCTTCAACTGGTTCAGTAACAGCTTCCATGTCACCTTGCATTTTATTACGTTAGTGAAGGAACTTGCGGCTACAACAATAACTTTTTGTTAGTCCATGATCGCTGACGAAATTGAAATCTGTACAAATGACAAAATAAGAAGATACAAATATTGTTAATTATTAAAAAACAGCGAGATATTCATTTTGTTTTTATCCAAATAAGGAAAGAAAAAAAAAATGTAGGTATCCAGATGCCACTTCAGCAGCTGTGTGCAAAGTCTATGGAAAGTCAAGAAAATTTATTTATAAAAAAGTATTTCCTAACAAAATTGGAAATGTTTTTCAGTCCCAGATTCATGTCTTTTCAACATTTTTGCAATGACTGACCTTTGAGACGATAGGCATATATGAAGAAAAAGTGGCGTCAGCTTGCAACATATTCTTTCCCAAAAGAAATTGACAAAGAAGTTGCAATTTTTCTGCAGTGCAAAACGCAAAAGAAACCCTTCATCTGTTCATTCTGTTTACAATATTTAAAATGTGCTGAAAACTCCACATAAATTTTCCTCAGAATCCAGAATGAGTCGACATTGAGAACAGCCTGTCTGGCCTAAAAAATGTTACAACAGTCTAGCTGAACTTGTACCCCGTATGAAACCGTATACACAATGCACAGTGCGTATCATTCATCAGTCTATGGAGGAATCCTCCATGATTTAACATACGAAACTTGAACAATGATCCACACCGAAACAAACTTACCGTAACTTCTTCAAAATAATTTTGTCAGCCGATGAAATTTGGCAGCGGAAACGTCAACAAGTTTTGCACACCAAAGCATACTAAACTCATAAAAAACTGGTCCAAAAACGTCTAAATGCGGGTAGAAAAGCGAACTGCATAGAGCCACTTCCGTCCCGCGCGTAGGCACAATCCATATTACCGTGTACGTGTACTGTATGGCTGCATGGTAACCAAATACAAATTAATTTTTTAACGACGGCTGTTTTATTATAGCCGTAACAAAAGGATATATTAATTCTAATCGTTTCCAATTTACTTACTGTACAAAACTTTGGATAAATTAAAGTACGTTTTCTATGTAAGATGAACATTGTCTTGCTCTTCTGATTGTTTAATTATCGTTGGCGAATGCCAAATCGTGTACGAGTTCGCCCATCAGTTATCAAACAGCCGTCGGGTTTCAAAAGCTCAACTTGCAAGAGCTGCAGTTCACCTGTTGCATACAAGTGGTTGCATACGTATACCGCGCCGTACCCTTGTAAACTGCCGTTCTTTCTATTGCACTCACTCCTTAAATTCATTCGGGTTATGAATATCCGTATTGAGATTTTATGAGAAACAAAATAATAATTATGATCAGAGCATTAAGTCTTGGCGTTTGAACGCCATCATAAAAAAAATCCTTTTTTTTCCATGATCGATCGTTTCCACAAACCTAACCGTTTGGGCTTTAGTGATGGATTATTGACCAACTGCTCCGTTGTGGAGAAGAAATCGATTGCCTAAACAATTCGTTTTGGTGGGATTGCATCTTCAGGGTAATCTCAAGTATTCACTTAAAGATGAATTGTAGTGCATTTGTGAGTGTTTAAGCTTGAACGTTTATAAAACGCAGGACCGTGAGAATTAAGCTAAGACAATCGCGAAATTCAAATGCCATCTATATTGAGCCGGAGAGTTTTCAAATAAAGCCCCTCAACCTCCCCCGATTAAAAGATTATCCTCCTTGCCATTTTTAGTGAACATTTTCATGAAAATATTACAAATAACTAACTCTAAGACATCATAAAATCAGACCCTCAAAAAAAATCAGACCCCTTAAAAAAAATCCTTTCCCAATACTACACAAATATAAATACATTTCACGAATCCTAATAGGACCGTACCCCTTCAATGTTCAGTGTTTATGTATAAAGGCCAGAATGGTAAATGACGACTCCAACATTTTTCAAAACAATTCAATTCATTTGAATTTATTCTTTGCCACATTTATTGCTATATTTCTAATTTTAGTTTTAGTTGCAGAACTTAAGAAAGACCTCAGATAAATAACAAGAAAATATTTTACAAAATATACATGTATCCAGTTCATACAAAAATAAACTTACTGCAGGCAAATTGTGAATTCTACAGGATGAGTAAAAAAGAAAGTGACTGAATTGGAAAAACAAAACAATTGAAAAAAAATATTTGTCTCGCCCCATTTTGTAAAAATAACATATGGATGAAGTAAATGTTACTGACTAGTAACTGTGAAAATTTCACATACTTGATTAATTTGCATGTACTCTATTCCCAAGTTATGTCTGTTTCAATAAAAAGATCACACAATTCAGCTGTCCACCACTGATCATTTACCGTTCTACGAACTGAATACCCATTAAATACAATGAATCATGGACCTTTTCCCACCTCCATGAATGAACGAAAACTTGCACGGGAAAACACACACAAATCGTCATTAATATTTTCAGAAACAAAACTGACTTGTTCCTCATATTCAAAACACAAAATCTGACAGTAAAAATAATGTTTCATTCTTGACTCTAATGATCAAATTTTTTGTTTGTTTGTATTTGAATGCCTGTGTGTAATTCTGTAATTCTCACTCAGCTCATAGATTTCATTGGCATTCAATGGACAGCTATAAAAATAGGTTCTTTTAGTAAAACATGCATAACTTCTGACAGCATGGATCAACATCAGTATTTTTTTCTCAGATGAGTGGAAGAACATGCTGTTTTCAGACATACTTCATCGGTGTGTTATCAATTTCGATTGCTTTTCAAGAAAAAAAAAATATTCAAGGTCACTTTCTTTTTAACTCGCCCTTTATAGAAAGGGGTTGTGGAAAACGTTTTAAATATTGTGTTTAAACATTGATAGGGATCACATTTCCTTTCCCATTTAATGAAATATTAAACAATGTATTCTTGATTGTTTTAGTAAATATTTCAGATTTCCATAAAGGAATTGGGGTAGGTGATGGAGTTAAGCTTAACCCCTAGTAGTTCCTCAAGACCACCCTGCTAAATCCAACAGAGTCCAACCAGACTTTCCTGCTCAATCCTCTGTGCCCTATTTTCAGTTGTCTGCTGAATCCAACGGAGTCCAACAATGCGTTATAATGCGGTTCAGTTGCCTGCTGAATCCAACATTTTGCATCAGGAATGTACACAAGGGGTTTACTGCTCAATCCAACAGGCTCCATCAGGTATATGATATAGTTGGATCTTGTTGGATTCAGCAGGGTTAGGGTATGAAATGTGATAACGGGGTAGTACATATAGCTTATAAATACCACTTCTGTTATTCATAGAATCCCTGGGATTGATGAGGGAATATTTACACTTATATGTACATGTACTATTACTATTACACCCTAACAAAGGGATCGCCCCAACTATAGTTGGACTATAGCCAGAGCTGTGCCGTAACAATACCATTGAAGTGGCCAGGCAAGTTTGTTAACTGAGAAATCCAAACTTAAAGTTGCTCTCCCCAAGCTCTTCAACGGATTCAACATTTTTTTCTCCTCAAAATTTTCAATTTGTACATTATGTACGTTTAATATGAACAGAAATCTACCTTTTCCATCTTGGATGTTTTTCAACCCTCAAATAATTCCAAATTTGTAACAGTAAATATTACATGTGGGGGGATATTTTTGTTTGTTATCTCATTCAAAAGCGAATAAGTTTTGCATTGCTTTAAATATAGATTCAACATTTTTTTCTCCTCAAAATTTTTCGATTTGTACATTATGTATGTTTTATTTGAACTGAAATCTACCTTTTCCATCTCGGATGTTTTTCAACCCTCAAATAATTCCAAATTTGTAACAGTAAATTAGTGGGGGGGGGGGGGGATAATTTTGTTCGATGTCTCATTCAAAAGCAAATAAGTTTTGCATTGCTTTAAATATAGCAATTGAAAAAACTTCTATTTTTTTTCAGAGTAAAACTCGAATGGGGAGAGCAATTTAAGGTGAAACTTTGTACAGAGAAGCAAATGAAACGAACCAGCAGAACCCTTTACCCATACTTTACATGCCACTAATGCAAAAGTAATCAAGTGATCCACTTTGGAAAAAAATAATTTTAAATAAAAAATACCTTCGTATTAATAACTACACTTGTTAAACTTATCATAGACAGAAAGGAACTTAAAATCAAGCTCTTCCCTTTTTTCAGGTCAAATTAAAAATATATTTAAATTATTTAAAAGAAAATTAATCAAAACTGCTGTGAACTTGTTACTGACTGGATTGACCTAAAATATACAAATCAAAATGCTAATGGGCCTGACATCTTGATCCTAGGCAAGAACGATCTTTCTCAAAGGTACAAAACGCCTTTGAGAAAGAAAACCCTTCTGGAATTGACTAATCAGGACCTCCGGCCTTTTTTATTTAAAAATAATTAGTTTCAAAAAGCAAAAGGAGGGATTATGAACCCAAACATGTTTCTTTCCCCCAAAATACGAGGCTAATGAGGTATGGTACATTACCTCATTTTTCCAGCTTGGGACCCGCAAATACATGTACCTCTGTAAATAATTTATTAATACTAATAAAAAAATGCAGGCACAAATATTGGCAAGAGTAACTCCATGCTTGACAGAGGTACACTTGCAGGCACGAGAATATTCACACAATTTGCTATTTCCAGTTGTAATTTCATTGTTCCCTTCAAGTTTTGATGCAACTTTGGTTGGTAGATAACATGATTCTGACCACTTTACAAAAAAAAATTACTTTTGTCTCAATCGATACTGAACTTAAATGAACTGATTAATTATAAATGAGTGGCGAATTTCCATGATTATAACTGGTCAAGACAGCCAGTGATGACAAGAATTTGGAGGCTGATCTCAAAACACCAAGTTTTGCCATGGGCTCCGTGCGCCAACGAAAGAGGGCGCCCTTTTACCTAGCAACGACGTCCCATGGGCGGGACAATTAGCTGGTTGACGAGCACCGTTCCTTGTGTGTGACGTACGTACACCAGTGGATTTGTACTATGTACACGCAGTGGTACGGCCATTATGCATCGCGGCAAAATTGCAGTCAGGCAAGATGGCGTCGGTCAGTCACTCCCCAACTGTACTTTCTTTGCCAGTGAGGGGGTACTTGTGAACTGAGCGGATAGGTGTTGCAACAAAGGATCCCGACAAGGATATAATACCTTTTCTGCACAGTCAGTGAACTTTTGTGTTTTCCTCCCCCAGTTTCCTTATGGAAACTTTTTGAGCTTGATTGTCTTCAGCTTTAAACAGTGACTTCCATGATCCTATGATCATATTGTGATGTCCTTATGAAGCTTTACCTAAAGACCATTATAAGGTGCTACATAATGGGTCTCATATTTCTCATAAACTTTATTAACCTTTCTTTAAAAATATACCTATCTCCAGCGCCTTGAGTACCTAATAGTTGGTAGATACGTGCGCTATACAAGACTCCGATATTATTATTATTATTATTATTATTAAAGACCAATTCATACTCGACATAAAGAAGAATGTGATCCAGATATTGTGACGCCAAGGCATGCACACACGCTGTGAATTCGCCATACTTGAACCCATTTTAGCTCTGGCGATAATAGCTGCTGCAGTTTTGCGACTTCAAATTCGCTTATCACTTGTATTGGTGTGAACTTTGAACCTGCCTTTAGAGCAAGTTCAATCAAAGACCACTGTCAACCAGTAGTTGCTTCATATCACTACATGATTTTAGTCTGTGTGCTGATAGCAAAATGGAATGTTCTCTAGCGAACTGTGGTCAAATTCAAGCTCAAAGTAAAGTTCAAAAGGTCATCATACTCCAAATTACTCCAACATGAAAGGTAATGGCAAGTTTGGATTCTTGTGATGTTAGCTTTCCAAAGACACCATGATCAACAAATTTGGCTCACAGATATGGTCATTTGAAAATTGGCGGCCATGGCCATTTTGACCAAAATTGCCAAACAATAGTTAGCAGTAGCGCCAAAACCGTGTTTCGTAGGGCGCTAAAGCAAACAATTTCAGCTTTTTCAGCCTAAATTACCCCACATTGTGAGCAAATTCGAAGGGGGTGGGTTTTAACCCATTGGGTGATTTGACATGGAATGACCCACGACTAGTATTGCAACCAACCTCAGTAGGTTGATTCCATATACATGTAGACTACCAGACTACTCCAACCATCGTTAACCAGCATGCTTTCACCGAAAGCTCGTTCAACTATGATTAACAATGGGTCTCTATTATTATCTTGCTATTAACTGAGGAATGTCTTCGGTCTAAGGAATCATACTTCCATGGTCTGATGTTGTGACTTGAAGCCTCTCTTCTGAATGAAGATAATGATCTGTCGGATACCCTCAGACACAATGCCATTTATCTTCACTCTGTTCTTGCTGTAGACATTCAGGAAGATACCCAAGAGAACCACAAGACCTGACCATACGTATCTGGGGAAAAAGTTTGAGAAATGATGTCAGAAACGATGAAACATTACCATCATTTTATTAATAATAACTAGATGTGGTTGTAACTGAACAACCACAGAGCTGTTCCCAACTTGTTGAGTTTAAAGTTGATCGGATTTAAAATAATTCCTAAAGTGGCTTGTAGAATAAAAACGTGTACAAAACCTATGGGAAAAAAAGTGGAAAAAGAAAAAGAAAAAGAAAAAGAAAAATAAAAAGGAAAAAAAAAAACTTTAACAAAAACAAAAGCTGTTCCCAATTGAAATTGGGAACAGCTAATAATTTGGGAGGCTAATCACCCCTGCAGGCTTGAGCTGAGAAGCTGAAGCCTGCAAAGGACGCGGCTACAACGTGGTCGAGCCGCAGGCATGTAAAGGCTCCTTTGGCAGCAAGCCTTACGACCCATACATGACCACGGAGCACAGCCAGAGATCGAAAGTGTTTGATTTTTTTCAGAGGGAGGGAAACCGGAGGGCCTGGAGAAAAACCCTTGTGGCACAAGGAGAGAACCAACGCACAACTCTACTCACATATGGTCCGAGCCGGGAACAAACCAGGGCCACAGTGGTGAGAGGCGAGCGCTTTATGCACTAGCCACCCATGCCATCTACTTTGTCGCTGCTTAATAAGAAAGCATGTCAAAAATTGCAACACTTTTCTTTAACCCTAACCATCCCAAATCCTCCAAAATCCTTTTTTGCAAATTGGAGGAATTTGCAGGATTGAGGTTACATGGCAAAAGTGCGTTGCTGATTTCGGAGGACGCACTGTGTCAAGGTCTTGGGCCAGACCTTGTGTTGTTGATGCTCAGCCTAGCATAAATTTAGTCCTTGATTATACTTGAAATCCTCCACACTGCTCCTATTGACAGTCTTAGCCGGAGGATTTTGCAGGATTCAGGCAGTGGTCACCTCTCCACGGACCATATTCAAGAAATAATGGAGGAATTTGCAGGATTGAGGCTACATGCTATTTTTCCATGAGGCCAATTGGAGGATTTTGCAGGATTGAGGCTACATCCTGGCAAAAAGACCTAGGGAGTTAGGGTTAAATTCCCAATCATGCCAGTCCATTTGATAGCACGCGATCAATCCTATCACAACGGCCCCCTCCAACAGCACAAGTATTTTGCTCGCTATTGTTCAGATAATCTGTCACGGGGCGGTTGCTTTTTATAATAGCATTCATTATAGTTTCTCCAATCTCCATTGAAGGGGGCCTCGTGAGGGCCTGGATTTGTCTATAAGGGCACAAACATACATAAAGTAACAACAAACTTGTGAAACGTAACACAATTTTGATTTCAGAACATTCAGGGAGTGGACATCGCAAATAGATAATGGAAAAAACAAATACTCACTGCATTGTGAAGGGCTTTGCGAAGAACAGAAACGATAAAACTATTGTGACTGCTTTGCGACAGGTTGTAACTGCAGAGGAACAAAACAAAATAATGTTCAGTTAGTCATAAACACAACAGAATGATTCATGTCTTAAAGTTACAATTCTGAGAAGTTAACATCCTCAGTGATCAGGCCTTGGGTGGGGGCAAGCAGGTACTTTTGTGCAGGGTGATGGTGGTGGTATATAGAAAACTAAATTGTACAAGTATGTAAATATCTTTGTGGTTGTCCATAAGGCTGTGCCAGTTATGAATCCAAAGCAGTATTTATACTTATCAATCAAAAAAAAGAAGCAACTGATGACTATTGGCCAATTCAAAATTCATGTAAAAGTGGAAGTGGACACCATTCTCACTGCCAACAAGTGTGGTTTCACTGTGACACCGTATGTTCAAAGCATGGGCGTCGCCAGGATTTTTTTTAGAGGGGGGCAAAAAAATTTTTTGACAAAAAATGCTTGTATTTCTCAACACATTCTCGATTTATCAGTTTTAGAGGGGGGCAGGGACAGTTTGCCCCCCCCCCCCCACTCATTAAATTTACACCACTTTGTCTTCGCGCCTCTTTTTCTTTTTTCTTTTTTTTTCTTTTTTTTTCTTCCTATTTTTTTTTTTTTTTTTTGCTTTTCCAGGGGGGGGGGGGGGCAAGTGCCCCCCCTTGCCCCCCCTCGCGACGCCCATGGTTCAAAGCCAAGTTACCAAAATGTAAATTTTGCTCCAACAAATACCTGAGCTCTAATATATCCCTGCAACTTGTTCCTGTATTTTAAAGTCGATTCCCCATTCTCTTCAATAAATTCAACTTTTTGTCTATTACTAAACTTCAACTTATATACATTGAATCCTAACAAAAAAAACCCCTACTTTTCTCCTGTTTGTAAGGTGTCTGCAACCCTCTGAAAAAAAGTTTTTGTTTTTGGCACACACAGAACCGCTTTGCAAGCAGACTAACTCCCGGCCTGTACATTAATGATACTGATTGTGGAACGGGAACCAGCCTACCCTGCAAGAACAGAATTATTGTCTGACAGCCAATAATTCGATAGTGTAAAGTAATAATTCAATAAGTAAACTTGGGCCGAAATATTCCGTCGATTTGTCATTCAAAAGTGAACAACTTTTGTACTGCAGCTACAAAAATAGCAAGTTAGAAAAGGAATCTATTTTTCGGGATAAAACTCGAAAATTGCATGAGGACTGCAACTTTAAATCTGGCTCAATGAGACTCCTAACAGAATGTCTTACCTGTTACTGTCATCAGAGCACCGAATGTTCTTATCATGGTCAGCACAAATGAAACACCAAAGAAACCAGATACGCCATACATAATTGCATAGCCATATGCTTCTGTTGGATGCTGTAAGGGAAGGTCATAAGATCAAAGGTCATAAGATCAAAGGTCATAAGGTCAAAGGTCACATTCAAGAGAAGATCAAGGTGAATATTACAGGAATGTCAGTGATCAAAAATTCTATCCAAGTCAGATCTGGGTAATTTGAAGGTAGAAAAAAAATGATTCCATGAAAATGTCAGTAGTTTAAAAAACACCCTAATGTGTTTTGTGACGAGCAAATGTCCAAAAATTATGATAGGGCCAAATTTTGACGATTTGCTTTTGAAGTTGAACTTATCCCACTGAAAAATTTAATCCATTCAAAGTAATCAACATATTTTTGTGAAGGAATTAGAAATGGAGTTAAAGGGAATATACAACATTTGCGAACATCAAAAAAACAAAACTACCAAATTATTATGAAATATCTTACTGGACTGAATAACGAATGACAGTCTAAAGCATCCTGTAAAATCATGGCACCTGGTGTGCTGTCATTTTCAAGAAAAGTGAAATTTCTGTATCAATTTCCAAGGCTGGTCGGCCGACCACCGTTGGAAAAACTGGCTTTTTTCCCAATACTGCCCCTAATTTACCATATTTAGTTAGTCCACGTTTTTGTTTGTAATCGATTACACATCTATGAACGGGTACAAGCCAGCTAGACTGGTTCCCTGACATAACAATTCCCAGACGCCTATAAATTTCTCCGTTTCATCTTAAGTGGGGTCAGGAAACCAGACTACAAGAACATGATTGTTTTTCATGTTTTTTTTCCCCAGCATCTACGAACACAAAACTCCAAACAAGTCAGTGTAACAATATTTGCTATAAAATACTAACCCCCCAAATCCATCCATTTCTGAAAACTTCAGCAAAAGCAAATGTAGTATAATTATTCCCTTTTAATAAACGGATCATTTTGGGTGGAAATTATCAATTACACTCATTTTGCATGACGGTCCGTCGGCAAATTTCATGATTGCTCCCTCCATTCAAAATGATCTAGCGATTCCTGTGATGACCAATGATACCTACCTCATAGAAAAACCAAAAGCTACTGAACAGGTTGCCGTTAACAAAAAGATAAAACAGGATGTAGAAGAAGCCAATCCCATACGAGTACAGTACCTGAAAAGGAAGAATAGGGATTAATAAATACCTTGGAGAGTTGATGGTTTCTGATTGGTTGAGACTCGATCACGTGGACGGGCATTAACGGTGATAATGGACCGGCTTCAAAGATCAAGCGAATAAATGGCCCCTGAACCAGCATTGATCAAGCCCCGTTCAGCCCCATGCAAGCCAATGATTGGTCAAAATATAGTAACAGTCCTGCGGTAGCTTGTAACAATAGAGCACTGCACATGCGCTCAACCCCCATCGCGTGAGACTGACGCGCGCGTACACAACACAGTTGCTAGGGATGCGTGCGTGCGCGCGAGTAAGGAAGTTTTGAAACGACATCGTACAGCAGTGCAGTATATACTGAGGATGTTTACGACGAAAGCGTAGATCTACGATTTATTTTCTTTGAACACTTCACCCACCGACATATTTACCTTTCCTAAACCAAGCATCTTTGTAATTCCGGACACAAGGAATGTGTAAACGAGATTTCAGCTTCCTCCATCAGGTAAAGATATGAAAACATTGTTGTAATTTGTTTCGCTACGGCAGCAGTTTCTGATGAGTTTACGTCGTTATAGCTGTTAAGCTAAAATATGGCCCATGAACATGAACACAAAAAAGTCTGGAAATATCGCCGAAAGAAAGTCACAAAATTGGAGCATTTTAACTGTTTATTTCGTTAAAAAGGTATTTATTAATGGGAATAACAGTGTGAGGATCCGGTCTTCACTGCGTGATAATGACCGGGTGGGGGGGTGACTTCGTCTCGGTCCATTAACAGCGGTCACCCCCACACCCGGTCATTATCACGCAGTGAAGACCGGATCCTCACACTGTTATTCCCTTAAAGGGAATATACATCATTTGCTTTTGCTGTAATTTTCAGATATGGATGGAATTGGGGGGTTGGAAATATAAAGCAAATATAGTTACACTGACTTTTTGGAGGTTTTGGGTTTGAAAATGCTACTAAAACCAAGAAAAACGATCATTTTCCTGTAGTCTGGTTCCCTGACTCCATATAAGAAGAAACAGAGCAGTTAACATTTCTTGGGGAATTGTAAGGTCAGGGAACCAGTCTAGCTGGCTCGTACCCGTTCATGGGTTTGTAATCGATTGCAAACAAGTGCAATGGTCAATTGGGGCCAGTATTTGAAAAAAAGCCAGTTGTTTCCAACGCTGATCGGCTGAACCCAACGGAGTCCAACATGGCGCTATAATGCGGTTCAGTTGCCTGCTGAATCCAGCATTTTGCATCAGGAATGTACACAAGGGGTTAACTGCTCAATCCAACAGGCTCCATCGGGTATGTGACACAGTTGGATCCTGTTGGATTCAGCTGGGTGAGGGTGTTAAAAAAGTTGAAAAATCTTGATAACAAATAGCTCACCACTTCGTTGTTGCTGGCCTCGTAAGCCTTCATGGCCTTTTCTTGAACGTTTCCGATGGCAGCATCGGCGCATAACGCAGTGGAGATCATGATGATACCTGAAACAGCAACATCACAGAAATGTCACTTAATTCAGTCCTCTGTGGTTTAGGCCCTTGGTGTACAAAATAAAACCAATGCACTTCTATCAAAAAATTGGTCCCCCACCAAAAAAGTGGGTCCACAAATTCACGGCGTGGGGTTCGGGGCCCGGAAAAATTGATTTTAGATGCTCTGTGGTGCAATCTGAGGCAATTTCTGACCACTTTAACCAATTTTGGTGAAAAGGTGGTGCACGCAGTGGCTGCCTTTTTGTGACGTCACAAAAAAAACCAACAATTTAGGTTCGTGTTTTCGTTTTTTCGAGGGGCATGGCCCCATTACCCCCCCCCCAGATCCGCCCTTGGGCCTCGGCTCACCACACACCCTCCGCCCCCCGACAGTAACCTCTCTGGGTCTGCCCATGAATTTGACTAGTTATGTTGAGAAACCATTTTTTTTTTATCACGAGAGGGGCACTATTGCTTTTGATGGCCAGCTCAGTGACCAATTCAGTTATTCGCGTGAGGAGGAGCACTATTATTTTTAAAGGCCAGTTTTTCCATGAGAGGGGCACAATTTTAATGTTGCAAGTGGGGCACTAATAAAATTGTGCTTTCGAGGGGTAGTTTTCCATCTCGAGAAGGTGCACAATCTTGCTAATGCGAGAGGGGCACTTGTGTTTCTGAGGGGCAGTTTGCCATTACAAGAGAGGAGACAATTTTATTTGTAGCGCGATCATATGCTTTCATGTGTACGTTTGAGGGGCAGTTTTGTTTTCATTTCGAGGGGGCACACTTATAACCGCAAGAGGGGCATTTTTGTTGGCCTGGGAAAATCAGGTGCCCCCCCCCACCCCCCGCCCCCGTTTTCACCGCCCCTGGTTGCACAAATGTGTTCCAAAAAAAATTTCACCACATGCCCCTTTAAAGTGTTCACCAAGATATATATGTAGTGAGAATACCTGTGTGATTAAAGTTTGGTGAAACGGTGCTGTCAGCAAGTATGAAGAAGATCAGCCCAACACTCATGCACAGAGCAGCACTCAGGTCAATAGGTCCATATCTCTTCCCTGGACAGGAAAATAAAAACCCCAACTTTTATTTGTTGCTTTAAAAATCAGTTATCAAGATAGGACAATTATTTTATGAGGTTCACTTACCAATGATTGACATCATAAATGCTGGTTATAATTTATGTAAAATTTATGAAGTTATTCATCTTTAATTCGTAACAAGACAGAATGAAAACAATATTTGCAGAAAACAATCAGTGTGCTGTACGCAAAGAGTTTACACACGCTTTCACGGTCACTTTGAATGTGAAATATTTTAAGTCAGTTGAAAACTTTTAAAACCACTGAAAGTTCATAGTACACAAATTTAAAATATTAAACACAGTTCTTAGGCCCCCCCCCCCAAAAAATATTCGGTCTCTGGTCAGACCAAAGTTCCGGAATTGACGCGGCGACGCGGCTTTTTTTTTCTTCTTCAAGCTTGGATTGTACAGACAAGGTGGGGTACTATTTTGCTTTTTTGGCTTTTTTGGTGTCCTCATGTACATTGGTGTCCTCCATAATTTGCCTTGGTGCTTTCGATCATTTGCCTTGGTGCAATTTCCCATTCCTTGGTGCTCTTTGGTAAAAAAAATTTAGGAGGTGCGGAAATAGAGGGCGCTGTTGGAGTTACCGCGGAACATTTTGGAAAAAAAAAAGATCGCTTCTGAATGCTTCTGAAGGATATGTTGTTCTTACCTTGGATAAGAATGCCTCCAATCATGACAGGAATCAGCTTGCAGCATTTGAAGATGACCTGAGTAGGGTAGTTGAGATATCCAACCGAGGAGTTGGACATACCCATTGTGCCCACTGTCAGGAAGGCTAGTAATATGTAGGTCTTCATGGGAATTCTACAGAAAAAGAAACACGAGGAACAAGCTTACAGGGGAGTCAGGTTGGCGTAGCGGTACTTTCCTGGTCTTCCACTGCTGCGAACCGCGGGTTCGAATCCCGCCTGGGCCAATATGTGGATTGGGTTTTCAGTCCCTACCTGATTCCGTTGGTTTTCCCCGGAATATTCTTCTGGGGTTTTCCTCCCACCTCTAAAACTGTAATTTCTTCTCACCGAATCCTCTCTACAGGTTTCTTCAGGCTTGTGAGCTGCAGTGCCAAGGGCACTTTTGAGGAATCCTTGGTTTTTATACCAGAAATAAATAATAATAATAATAATAACAATGAAGGTTGTTACAAAAACAACCCAGAAATCCTCTACAGATTGAAACCAAAAGATCCTTTCTGATAAACTTTTTCAATCTCCAGAGATAAAATCTGCAAATAAGAATGACCCATCTTAAAAAGTACAGCCTAGATGGCCTTCTAAATTTTTTCCAAAAGAATCTTTCTCGGTTACAATTTTAGCCCTAACCCCCGAGGCCTTTTTGCTAGGAACCATCCTCAATCCTCCAAAATTTTACAACAGCGCCTAAATTCTTCAAAATTTTCAGACAGTCCTGCCTCAAAATACATTCATCCTCAATCCTCCAAAATCCTCCTCATCCAAAAATGTTGCACTTATGTTCAAATGAAGGGTACCCAGCCCCTCAATCCTTCAAAATCGTCTGACAGTCCTGCCTCAAAATACCATTCAGCTTCAATCCTCCAAAATCCTTTTCTGAAAAATACCATTCAGCCTCAATCCTCCAAAATCCTTATCTAAAAAAATACCATTCAGCCTCAGTTCTCCAAAATCCTCCAAAACCACAAGGAGGATTTTGGAGGACTGAGGAGGGTTAGGGTTAAATTCTTGGGATGGGCCCTGTGTCTCTTTATTTACCTCCCCTAAACTCCAACAATTGTATTAGAGTGTTTACATTTGAAATCCTCATGAACTGTCTAAAAAACATAGAATATGCCACTCGGGAGGTTCCTTTGGAACACAGCATGTTCCTGCTGTGCTCTGAAAAGAAAAAGGAGGGGTGGTCGTTGCACATGCAAATACAAGAGATCCCATATCAATGAACATCTGAAGTTCCCAGTCCATTCTAAGTTAGGCAGAGCGCATTTCTTACCTCAAATTTCCAAAACCTACATATGCACTTGAAGTGAAGAGAAAATGTACCTTCTTGGTTGACAGCCCTTCCATTTCATCTCAATGGATGCAAACGAAGAGTAGCAGGCAAACTGTACTAGCGTCAGATACCATCCATAAGGTTTCCGTTCTGGAGCCCTGAAAAACAACTCCTGTTGATAAAAAAAAAAGGTCAAATTAATGTCAACAAAGTGATCTTTGTGACCTGAAATTTTGAAAACATAAGGACTTTAACCCTTACTCTCTGAGGGTAGTTTACTGCATGTCAGTTGGTTATGCCAATGCCCTCCAGCTGCAGTTTATTGGCAGATAGTTTGTCTTAACAGTGAAGGCTCCAATTGGCAGGAGTTGGAGGCCCTGGAGGGTGCCTGATACTGACCAGCTGGGGGCACTCACTTTGTTATCAGAGGACTCTCATTGTTCTCTGTGGCATGTATTGGAGTGCCTGTCCAGTTACCCTTGAAATGACATGGCAGATATTGGAGGGCCATGCAAAAAACATAGGAGATTTTCTTGAGGCACATATTGGCATGCGTTGGAGGGTCTAGTAGGGTAAGGGTTAATCTATTAACCCTAACCACCCTGAATCTATCAAAATCCATACCCCTGATTTGGAGTATTATGGCAGATTAAGGATACCTTTATATTAAACAAACTGGGGGATTTTGATGGATTCAGGATAGTAAGCTTAGCTGAACTTCATGATTTGGATGGATTCAGGATACATAAACCGCCATATCATGAATATTGAGCAGTTGATGGACTATGATGGATTCACAATCTCAACAGCTTAACTCCTTGGCTATGTTTGCTGGTATTGTTGTTGGATTTTGGCGGATTCAGGATACCTTCCAGTAAAAATACCCAAGGAGACTTATGCTTAATGAATCTGCGCAATTGTCCTAATGATAAGCCACAGCCTAGCCCAAAATGTATGTGTACCTCCATGTTTGTTTACATCATAGAGCTCAATGTATATTAAATTACTAGAGCGTTAACTCTTCATTCTCCCGCAAAGATACTTTGAAGCTGTTTGTAGAACAAAATGAAATCAGATGGAATGAATTTTGATTGAAGTACAACATATGCGAACAACGTAAGCGCGTTTTCTACGATCACGGGTTTGATGGCAAAAATCATCTGGAGCGCATAGTTGCGTTGTTTGCGCAGAGCAATATGAAATGCTCATTTACTGGTTGTGTGTTTGGGTTTTGGGCGTATCGGCTTTGATTACGAATCGGTGTAGAAGACAAATGCAGATATGCAATAGCCAGACTAAAGCCGTACTGATTTTCTCGTTTTCAATAGGTTTGTGCACAAACATGGATGCGCCCGGCAGGCTTCACTTTGCGAGTTAGCACTCTAGTAAATTAATATAGCTCTATGTACGAACTTTGACCAGCACCCACAAACAATTTTCAACCAAATGTGTACACAAATCCACAAACCAATTTGTTAACTTGACATGGTCCCGACTAAACTTAAGACTGATGGTATAAGCTGTGAGGGAACATTTTCACCACCAAAGGTGCAGCTATAAACACAGCCACTGGGCAAAAACACTGGAGAAAAATACGCATTCCTACCTGGACATACCCGTAGATTAGGTAGAAGAAAAATATACCCAATACGCCGATACCAAACTGGGCCAGCATTGGCAGTTGGGATGTTGGCTCTGTTTTCCCTGCCTCCGACTCCTTGTCCTGTTTGCTCCCATTCCCGTTGGCAATGTTCACAACATGCTGATTGGAACCGTTTGGTGGGTTAGTTGCCATGTTGGGTTTTCTGAAAATTCCCGATCTCTGTAAGAAATTTAAAAAAGTGGAATGATTATAGAGTCGGTTATCTTTACGTAGATAATATTAATGCAAATCTGGGTCCGCTGAAAAAGGAATACAATTATCCAAAATGTTGCACAGGTCTAGATGATTTGTATTTGTTACGCTCCAACCTAGCCCCATAAATGTGGCCTATTTACTGGACTACCTCCGTAAACATAGGCCACACATCCACATGTACAAAAACGTGTCGCACTTTGCCAAATTTTGATTTTCGCATATGGGTCATTCTATAAATTTAGGGTCCAAAGTGTGACATTTTTCCTGTCCCTGTTACCTTGGTACTTTGTAATTTGCCACTCAAGCATCATTAAGAATGACTTCAAATGATTGTTTATTTGTTGGGTAGGTTAGTTTGCTATTCATAATCACTCTTGGAGGATGACTGCATTAAGGAGTGCATCAGAATTATACAATCATAGATGTCAGATGTAACAGGGACAGGAAAAAAGTGGACCCCAAATTTATAGAATGACCGATTTAGGCTTAGTTTGTAGGGTTTTTTTGCTTTAGAAGCATACTCACCCTCATTATAGGCTAATCAGAAAGTGCTGCCTTTTTCAGATGTATATTTTTCGTGAAATTTCCAGATTCATTTTTACACGTTTGCGTATCAACATTTCAACATGAAATTTCACAAAAATAAGACATCTGAAAAAGGCAGCACTTTCTGACTGGCCTATAAAGTGGGTGAGTATGCTTCTAAAGCAAAAAAATCCTACAAACTAAGCCTAAATGTGAAAATCAAAATTTGGCAAAGTGCGACACGATTTTTGTACATGTGGATGTGTGGCCTATGTTTACGGAGGCAGTCCAGTAAATAGGCCACATTTATGGGGCTAGGGTCATTGCAGGGAAAAATTAGTGATATCCATGTATGGAATTCTTATCAAAACGAACAATTATTTCTCAATCATACCATGGAGGTAGAATTAGATTCTACCTCCATGATCATACTAACGGAAAGATTCCCAATATATAATTTCTCCCTTCAGTGACCTATCAGCCATTAGCCCCATACACGTGGCCAATTTACTTGACTACCTCTGTAAATAAAGGCCACGCTTGGACCAGGTACCCGAACATGTAGAACTTTGTCAAGTTTTTATTTTCAAATTTAGACTTAATTTGTAGTTTATTTATGCTTTAGAAGCACACTCACCCTCTTTAAAGCAATAGCAAAATAGTCCTCTCTTTTTCGGGTGTCTATATTTCGTGTAATTTCCAGGTTCGTTTGCACACGTTGGCATTAAACTACACCCAAAAAAATGATGTCTGATAGGGGGGGGGGGGAACAATTTTCTATCGCTTTAAAGGGTGAGAGTGCTTCTAATATGTCTAAAGCGTAAGTAAACTACAAATATTGAATATAACATATAAATGTGAAAATATAAACTTGATGAAGTTCTATTTGGGCACATGGTCCAAGTTTGGCCTTTATTTACGGAGGTAGTAGTACAGTAAATTGGCCACATTTATGGGGCTAATCAGTAAGTGACAATGGACAATGTATCCTAAAAAGTCAAGTTTAGCAGGGAAAATATTGAAGTACATGTACTTTATAAAGTTTATACATCCCACACTGTACTGAGAAAACACAAAAGTTAGAAATGTTCAGACCAGTCTCATACGGTTTGTGCACAGGGTGAAAAGTGATGGCAAGATATGGGAATCTTTCCCTACTACATTAGTCATTAGTCCATGGAGGTAGGAATAGACCTCCATGATTACTCCTAAAACAAAACATAAATCAGTTAAATATCCAACCTAAAGTTGAGTCTGTGCTATTGCATGCTGTATATTACTATGCGTAGCGCCCCATGGGTACCGGGTCCGGGTTGTCATGTTGTACGTTGTTAATGTTACGTACAGTGCTAGTGACACACACGCGGAGCCACATTGGAATTTAAGAGTTAACTGGTCTTCTTTAGAGTCAATGCGGATGATATTTGCAGGAAATGGACCTCCGTAGTCAGCTTTATTATTGGTATAAAAATTCAATTGAAATTTTGCAAATTTATTTGTCTTACCATCGATCATTGGATTGGCAAAAGTGTTACAATACAGTCGTGGAGCGGGTACGTACGTGGCCGGATCTCGTGTCATTCATGGACACCGGCGCGGTACGTACCGGCGCGTTAGATACAAACGGGTGACACGGTTCACATTGTGTTTGTATGTGTGTTAATGGGTTTGGGGACCAGACCTCAATAGTCGACCTAAATTAATATTCAAATTTGCATATCGTACGATCGAAAACTCGTTGCTTCACTCAAATGCTTCACTTTGGTTTGCCAGCTGACAGATGGTGAGACTGAGAGTATTTGAAATTTGCGATTTACTGCTGTTTTTGTTATGCTTTTCGTCAAGGCTCGTACTTTGTAGTGTAGTAAATAAGTAATGTATTCCATGCAAAAAAAACCGGTCTCTCCGCTGCAGTAGCGGGTGCGGCCGCGGCGCAGGTGGGGGTTGAACGGGAGACCGGCATGAGCGGGAAGGGGGGGGGGGGTAGACATGTTCCCCCTAATAAATCGTGTTTGCGGGGTAAACAGAACATTTGTTGCTGTAGCTGCACCTTGCTGTTGCTTTAGTATCATTTGTCTATGCTGCGCTAGAAGACGTGAACGCATTTTGGAATAATTGCATGAGTTTTTGATTGATGTGCCGTATTCAGCAACGTGTGTTCTTTTTGCCCTGTGGTGCATTATATGTGAAAGTGCTTATTTATGAAGCACTTCATATGCATAATTGGAATATGGACAACAGATATGGAAGTTTATCATCATTATTGACGTGTAACGTGATGGCAGTGGCAAGTACACGTATGTATGCTTTTGCAATGCAACATTGCAATTGTAGCTCCCTCTATTTCTTCCGATCCTCCATGATGGCTCAAATATTGTTGATGTACCCTAACGTGGCTCGGCCCCTAACGTGGCGCACTTTGATTTTTCGCCTGTAGCGCCTACCTAGAGCAAAAGTTTTAACTGAAATTTCACAGAAAGTGAAATTTCATCAAGTTCTAAACACTCCTGTTCATAAATCGCGAGTTTATTTACCCGTAACAAAGTTAGCAGAAAAATTTAGTTTGGCATGATTTTCCGATTGTGTTTTCAACTGCAAAGTGAACCCTTTGAAAATGCCCGAAAAATAAGAATTTTTTTTTTGACAAACACCTGGCTGGGTAGGCCTATATAAGTAGAGGAGATAATTATTTATCAGAATTTATCAAGTTTACAGAAATTCTTAAATGTTAATTTGGAATTTTCCGAGATTTATTCAAGTGCGCCACGTTAGGGAACACTCCGCCAACTTGTGCCCAATTTCCGGACGCCACCGTTTTTTTAATTTTGGATTAAATTTTACGAAACAGAAATTGTTTACAGAGGTCAAATAGCAAGCATTAATAAGGTAAAAGTACTAGTATTTTACTGCATGAATTTGAGGTTTGTCAACAAAGAGGTTTGGCAACACTACACAAGGAAAGTTGGGTAAGCTTCGAAGTGCGCCACGTTAGGGAACACGACTACCTCCTTCACGTCCTTATTATATTGTGAGCCACACAACGGTGATGGCAACAAAATCAGATAGTTTTTCACCATATTCATGAACCACCGCCACGGACATTGGTGGCGCTATTTCATGTCCAAAATGACCTAATTTTTTGTGACCGCCTTTTTTGAAAAGGTTTGACATGGAGTTTCACATACAGGGATACTTTCGCTTAGCTCCAAACATCAATAAAAGAGAATTGCAGGGTGTAGTTGACCTTAGAAAGTTTGGTTTGGCAATTGGGTATTAAATCACATTGCCAAAAAAAGTTGTGGATTCCCCAAAACAGCGATGCCGCTATTTGTGTGTAAATTTCCCATACGTTTGTACACATAATCAACTGACGAGGTCACATTTATTTCAGCCAAATGGAGCATCATTTTAAGGCAAAAAAAGCAACTTTAAAATTACAATTATGTCAGAACTGCTTGCCCTATGAAGTTAGGAGACCATTTGTTTAATTGCATTTTGAAAGCTCTTAAAGGGGCAATACAACATTTGCAAACATCAAAAAATAAAACTACCAAATCATTTTGAAATACCTTGCTGGACTGTTAGTGAATGACAGTGTAAAGCATCCTGTAAAATCATGGCACCTGGTATACTGTATCAATTTCCAACGCTGGCCGGGCGACCAGCATTGGAAAAAAATGGCTTTTTTTTTTCAAATACTGGCCTCAATTTACCATCGCACTTGTTTGCAATCGATTACACACCTATGAACGGGTACAAGCCAGCTAGACTGGTTCCCAGACCTCACAATTCCCCAATGTATGTAAACTGCTCTGTTTCTTCTTATACGGAGTCAGGGAACCAGACTACAGGAAAATGATTGTTTTTCTTGGTTTTTATTTTTTTATAGCATTTTCGAACCCAAAACCTCAAAAAAGTCAGTGTAACTATATTTGCTATATATTTCCAACCCCCCAATATCCATTTCTGAAAATTACAGCAAAAGCAAATGATGTATATATTCCCTTTAACCTATTATCAACTAGGTAAGTACATGATTTCGATTTTCTTAAAAACAGTTTTCCACACATGTTGCTTTCACCGGGTTTAATTCCCTGTGAAACCTCATTCTTTATTTCTTTTGTTAAATTCATGTAGGTTTTGTTAATTGCATCAAATTCTGCTTTTTATGAAAGTACATGTAGACTTCCTCTTTTCGTTCGGTTCATTTTTAAACAACAGATTTTTTCCCATTTTATATTCGTATGTTTTGAAAGGGATGCTGGTGTGATGGCAGACTTCTGTAACTACAGCCACTGGCATGTAGTTCTTTTTATCTGAATTCGTTGAAAGGCCAATTGATAATTGCTCGTCAACCACAAATGGATGGGGGTTAAACGTGCATTATTGTATTTGAACAAAACCTCTTGAGTCATGTGCATGTTTGTAGAACATAATGAAATCAGATGGAATGAATTGAATATTGTACTCTAAATGCTCCCTCTGCAGTATCACAATTACTTTGCATCTAGGTTTCTTAACGCATATTTCTTTTCATTAATTTTGTATAATTTACTTAGTAAAATGGTATATTTGTATTTGATTTTCCTTAAATATCTTGTAATGTTTTCGTTGTTTCATATTTTGATACTGTGGAAAAATAAACAAACCAAACCAAACCAAATGCAACATCAGTATGATGTTAAGCACATTGCCCCCCCCCTTCAAATTTCTCAAACTAGTGGTCCCCTGCGATGTTGAAAAGAGTCTCCACTCCTACAATATTTACAAGTAACACTTATAACAGTTGGGTACATGTTAGTTGTTGGACAATTCAAATACAGCACCTCGGGCTTGGTGACACCAGGACAAATCAATATCTGTTAGAACTCTTTTCCCTGGTTATTAAACGGGTGAAACTAGCATCTGCACCCTTTCTACCCCCCCCCCCCTCCCCCTCCCCACCCTGAACATTGTTAGACAGCCCTGTTTTTAATTAATGACTTCCACAATTTAAATTTTTTGAATGTATTCTTGTTTCATAATGACTTCATGTGCCCATATATCCAAAAGAAAACCTTGTATAATATACTACCAAAAGTACCAGTATATTTTTAGGTTGTGTAAGATTTTTTTCCAAGCTCAGCCAGTGAAATACCTGGTGTCAGCACTGATTCCAAGGTCCAGTGATTTTTATAGACACAGAGCCCATGGCACGACCAGTAACTATAACAGGCCGCTTTATGTTGTTTGCAATTCCACACAGGCTGGGCTGACGTCGTTGGTGATATTTCAACAAACCCACAAAGGACAGTTACACAATCCACAGTTAGATGCCAAGTCTTAAAAATGCCGATGCTCAGTTAAGTCTGAAGATTATAAAGACATTCCCTGCTTCTTGTCAGCATCTTGAAGTAACTGTAAGTATTAGTATTCACTTTAATAAGCATTTTGTGCATCTGTTTACATGTATAACACTTGCGTTGTTTATTGAACTTTATATCACAGTGTGAACTTAAGACAGAAATTGCTCAAAATGAATACACATAGAATTTTAAGCTGTGTGTCAAATTTCTTCACTTACTTTTGCGAAGCTGCATTTTAAAATACAAAATTTGGCTGAACACATTTACTTGTTGTTCAGATAAATGTGGTAATTATAAATGGTCAGTGTATTTAATTGTCATGATGTACTTACTACTTAAGTCGGTCTGTGGTCAGCGCGCGCGTCGATTTTAATCATGCGCGTCAATCTTTTTTTTTTTCCAAAATGTTCCGCGGTAGCTCCAACAGCGCCCTCTATTGCCGCACCTCCTCAATTTTTTTTTACCAAAGAGCACCAAGGAATGGGAAATTGCACCAAGGAAAATGATCGACGGCACCAAGGCAAATTATGAAGGACACCAATGTACACGAGGACACCAAAAAAGCAAAATAGTACCCCACCTTGTCTGTACAATCCAAGCTTGAAGAAAAAAAAAAAAAAAAGCCAAAAAAAAAAATCCGCGTCGCCGCGTCAATTCCGGAACTTTGGTCTGACCAGAGACCGAATATTTTTTTTTTTTTTGCCTTACAATTTTTTTTTTTTTTTAAATTTATGTTAATATTTTTTTGGCTTCTTATTAATTTTATGGCATGTTAGGTAATGTGAGTGAACATTGCTATGAAAGGCATGCAGTACAAATTTTACATTATTGTTATTAGATTATTAAGTAATTTTATTTGTAAATTACATTTTTTGCAGGTTTGAAAAGTAAAGAGAATTTAACTGTGAAGAATATAAGAATGGGTTTGACAAGCACAGTCACGGCGCTGTTTCCCGTTAGTCTTCCTGTACTGATTGTCTTCTTGGCAGCGTTAGGGGCAGCCTCTTACTACATCCTGGTGTCTGCCAAGAAGGTAAGAACAAAGAAGGGGAGTGTCTTCTTGGTAGGCTGTGGGGGGGGGGGGTTCGGAAAGTTTCACAGTTTTTTCTAGTGTCCTTTTTGCGGGCAGTATAGAAACGATTCCAATTTTTCTGATGAAAAACTTCACCCAGTTGCTTCATTTCTTTTAGTTTAATTCTAGTTGTGATTAGGTGAACAGATTCTCAAGTTATTAAAATAAGCAGTGATCTATTTAACAAAAATGTTGAAACGGCGAAAATATCTGAAAATCTGTGGACCGGGTATTCAAATTGATATAAGTTTATGTTATGAAGGATGTGGGTTTTTTTTTACATGTAGAATAGTTGTACACGTATATTAAAATGGAAAAAAAAAATGCAAAGGAAGTGGGAAATCATGCTGGTAGGGATTTTCTCATGACTCGATTATGTAAAAACACTGTCCTTCACTGCAAAGCCATATTGCTGAGTAACTTCTATTAAATTGTTGGTGGTTTATCGTAGCATTTTCTGATGTGGCTTCATTGTTTCAGATCAAGCAAGAAGCATTTTAAGAGGGAGAGGAGAACAAGTTAATATTTTATATTGGGTTTTTGTCCTTCGCCGACGTATTTTATGAACACTACTCAGCGTTGTCTGAGGGCTTGCGAGAAAAAAAAATTCACAAATTTTCTTGAAAAAATCACAAGCTTACTTTAAAAGATCACAAGCTTTCTTAAAATAATCACAAGCTCAATTAAAAAAACACAAGCTTGCTTAAAAATCACAAGCTTACTTAAAATAATCACAAAGCTTTCTTAAAAACATAACAAGCTTTCTTAATAACATCTCAAGCTTTCTTAAAAACTCACAAGCTCTCGTTTTAAAAAAATCACAAGCTTACTTAAACAAATCACAAGCTTTCTTTAAAAAATCACAAGCTTTCTTTAAAATCACAAGCTTTCTTTAAACAAAATTCACAAGCTTACTTAAGAAAAAAAACCCAGATAAGGCCAAAAAAAAAAATTCGGTCTCTGGTCAGACCAAAGTTCCGGAATTGACGCGGCCACGCGGCTTTTTTTTTTTTTTGCTTTTTTTTTTTTTCTTCAAGCTTGGATTGTACAGACAAGGTGGGGTACTATTTTGCTTTTTTGGTGTCCTCATGTACATTGGTGTCCTCCATAATTTGCCTTGGTGCTTTCGATCATTTGCCTTGGTGCAATTTCCCATTCCTTGGTGCTCTTTGGTAAAAAAAATTGAGGAGGTGCGGAAATAGAGGGCGCTGTTGGAGCTACCGCAGAACATTTTGGAAAAAAAAAGATCGACGCGCATGATTAAAATCGACGCGCGCGCTGACCAGAAACCGATTTTTTTTTTTTGGCCTAAGACTCATCGGAGAAAAATACAAATTGGTTGGGTTTGCCTCTTTTTTCAATAAAATAGATAGGCCTAGGTGTGGATTCTTCAGACAAATATTTAGCTTACTTGCCAAATATATGTGACCCATAATCTCAATCACACAATCTGCTATCAGCCAGATCTTGACTTTGCCTTCATGTTATCCCAAAATAAAACTTAGCCCTTTGTTTGAGATAGCGGAATACAATTCAAATCTTTTTATAGCTAAGCAAACAAAATTGTAGTGTCTGTGACACAAATTGGTTCAGTCATATATAGTACAAAATGGGACATTATCTTAGTTGGATTGTTTGTTTTTGAATATTTTTACGTACTGGTGTGATTGAAATAATCTTAATTCCAGTTTTTTGAGGACAAACATGCAATAAGGGATTACTTGCTCACAGTTTTCCATATTTTAGAATCAGCCACAGTAATGTTTTGAAAAGTAAAATGTATCTCAAGTCAAAATCAATTGAATTTTGAAATGGATAAGTCTAAAATGGTTTTGAAAGGAAACGATCTGCTGCACAAAAGTATATTGGTAAAAAAAAAGGAGTTTGATTTCTATATACTTATTTGGGAATTTAAAGTTCATGAATTGCAATTATTCATAATGTTTGCAATACTGTTTTCTGGAAAATGACATTTAATATTAATAGCATTTTTATCTCTTAAAAAAGACATCTATGAACATTAATAGTTCAGTCGACTCTCGTTCATGTCGTTAGTACAAACTCTGTTACTTCAAAATTCTGGTTATAACAAACATAAAGCCTTGGTCCCGACTGTGCATTTATGTGCACAATGAATGGGACTGATGTTCCTCTTAATACAAAATTCTGATATAACAAACAATTTGGCTAGGTCCGAATGAGTTTGTTATAACGTACATGTAGTTTGTTTTCCACTATAAAATATAGCAACAGTACATTAATTTCTGCACATGCATTTTCAGATTGAGAGTGAGAAAAATATTCATAAGATGAAATTTTCGTTGGGGTGATGTAAATCAATATTAGGTTTTGCCCTTCACCGACATATGAACACTGTATACTTAGTTTGTTACCTCCCGAGTGAAAGTTGGAAATAACCACTCGGGTGGGACGCGAACCCACGACCTCCTGCTTTCTAGTGCAGACGTCTTACCACTCGACCACGGAGCTAACAGGATCGGTTGGCTGGTTCGAATCTGATGTACATAGCAGCGGGTACCGCAATTAATAAGATGAAATTTGCATCGGGGTGAAGTAGCTTGGTAAAATAATTACTTCTTCCTTACCATCATTATTTTTCATAGGTTTCCAAGCATAACCCAACAAGAAGTAAAACCAAAATGAGAAATCGAGATCCGTCTGACCCAGAGGTCCTTATCGTTGGGTCAGGCATCCTAGGCTCTGCCATGGCAGCAGTCTTGGGTAAAGATGGCCGGCGAGTGACGGTCATCGAGCGAGACTTGAAAGAACCCGATAGAATCGTTGGAGAACTGCTGCAACCGGGTGGCTATCAGTGCTTGAAAGCTCTGGGTTTGGAAGGTAAAATATCACTCTCAAATCCAATGGGCATTATTTGGAATTGTTTGGGTAGAAATCATTAGTCATAAATCTATATCTCTTGGTCTCCTTACTAAAACTTACTAAACTTTTTAACATGGCCTGATTTCTTTTAACCCTGACCCCCTTACTCTTACTTTGGGGTAAAGTACCACATACTACATAGTATTACAGAAATTATGTATGTACATGTAGTACCCAAATACTAGAAAATACTATTGTGGTGCCCACTTATATAAGCTGAAATACTGCATACTACGGTTTACTACTAGTAGTATCTTGTAGCTTAAGGTGAGGTTAGGGTTAAGAAAATTTCAAAGATCTAATAGTGGTATTAATGTAAGGCCAAAAAAATGTTCTGCTTCCGATTACATGGCATTTGAAAATAGGGTAGGCAGGTAGGCAATTTTTGTGTGTGTGTACGATCATATGGAGGTGTCTGCATGTAGTAAAGGGTAAAAGGTAGTAATTGATGGTTTTCGGGGTTTTTCCACATTCCCCCCCCCAAAAAAAAAATTAGGATTGGGGCTGTGAAAATGGGGTAGGTAGGGTAACCAGAAGCAGAACTATTATTTTGTTTGGCCTAAACATTAGATACATTGTACATGTGGGTCATACTTTAAATTTTGTCAAAAGTGAGACATTTTTCTTGCCCCTGTTACCTCCATATTCCATTCAAGTATTATTAAGAATGACTTTGAAAAAAAAATTGTATTTGTTGAGTAGGCAGTTTGCTATTCATAAACACTGTCTGGGAATAATTGCATTAAGGAGTGCATCAAAATGATAAAATCATAGATGTCGGATGTAACAGGGACAGGCAAAAAAAAGTGGACCGCAAATTTATAGAATTATCAAGTCCCATGTAGCTATCTGTTTATCTCATTCAATGAAACTAAAGTTTGAAATCCTGACTTTTTTGTGTCATTCCACTCTCAGTGAAGGAAATATTGAAAACTTTTGAAGGTTTGAAGATTTTAAATAAGTTAACGCTAGTTCTTCTCAGAGCACATACAAGACTTATTTTTCACATGGCAACACCAAGAACACTTCAAACAAGTTTAAAGTAGTTCGATTTCTTTCAGTTTAACGAAGGACAATTCCTTTTTGAGTGCTGACTGTGTGCTATTGATAATGCTTCTAGCATACATGACTTTGGGCGTGATCCCTTGCTTAGTTGGTAGAGTGCCTGTGTGGTAATCTGGAGGTCGCAGGTTCAAATCCCGCAACATTCAATTTCACTGTTCCCATTTATAATTATTATGCAGGAACCTCTCTAGTAAGTTTACCTTGGTGGTTTGTATGATTGTTTCTCCAGATTGCACGGAAAACATTGATGCTCGATCCGTGGAGGGATACATCATCCACGACCTGGACACCCACTCCAAGGTGGATTTGTCGTATCCTAAAGACGAACAGGATCACGTTCACTCGGGGAGGGCCTTCCATCACGGAAGGTTTGTCATGGGGCTCAGAAAAGCTGCAATGCAACAAAAAAGGTACGGTTTTGCCCTTTGCTGACGTACGGAAAGGTTTTGCCCTTTGCTGACATGTTTTATAAACTGTCAAGTGCTTAAGAGAAAAACTTACAAGCTTACCTGGTGGGATTCGAACCGACTTCCTCGCAAGCCTCAGACAACACTGAGTATACGAGTTTGCCAAAAGATAAAACTCGATATAAAATTTATATCTCCTCGATGCAAAGTCCATCTTCCAAAATGTCATTGAAAACTGTCATCATGGACCTTTTGCATAGAGCGCTGTCATTGGGGGCAGGTCTTAGTTCCTGTCTGAATCATCGAACAACTCTACTCACATTGGTCCGAGCCAGGAATCGAAACTCAGGCCACAGTAGTGAGAGGCAAGCACTTCACACACTAGCCATGAATGTCACGTGTACTGGTACGCACAATTTAGCAAAGTACATTGTACGCATGACTAATTTTATTCTGCATGTGCACAGAGCCATAGCATTTGCCTGTGAGCTTCAGACATCGTCGGCAAGCGTTCATATGCCTCTTCCAGTGGTCTCCCCTAACTGTCCATTTCTTACCATTGAGGGGGTACTTGTACACGGAGTCCATATGCTATTTTAATAAATATAAACGTAAATGTCCAGATTTAATTTTTCCATTTTTGAAATTGCTCCTTTGGGTGATCGAATACTCAGGTATTGTTTATTTGTTCCCACAGTGTCACTTACATCGAAGGGACTGTCACCAAGATACTGGAACAAGATAACTGTATAATTGGAGTCATGTACAAGGAAAAAGGACTTGATGAAGAAAAGGTGATACCTGATTCACTACTTAATTATATTATATAGTTTACTACTTAAAGGGAATATACATCATTTGCTTTTGCTGTATTTTTCAGAAATGGATGGAATTGGGGGGTTGGAAATATATAGCAAATATAGTTACACTGACTTTTTTGAGGTTTTGGGTTCAAAAATGCTATAAAAACCAAGAAAAACAATCATTTTCCTGTAGTCTGGTTCCCTGACTCCATATAAGAAGAAACGAGCAGTTTACATACATTGGGGAATTGTAAGGTCAGGGAACCAGTCTAGCTGGCTCGTACCCGTTCATAGGTGTTTAATCGATTGCAAACAAGTGCCATGGTCAATTGGGGCCAGTATTTGAAAAAAAGCCAGTGTTTTCCAACGCTGGTCGGCCGACCAGCGTTGGAAATTGATACAAAAATACCACTTTTCTTGAAAATGACAGTATACCAGGTGCCATGATTTTACAGGATGCTTTACACTGTCATTCACTAACAGTCCAGCAAGGTATTTCAAAATGATTTGGTAGTTTTATTTTTTGATGTTTGCAAATGTTGTATTTTCCCTTTAATTTAATGTCTTAACCCTAACCCACCTCAATCCTCCAAAATCCTCATTGTAGTTTTGGAGGATTTTTGAGGATTGAGGATGAATGGTGTTAGAGAAACACGATGATTTGGGAGGATTGAGGACGAATGCATTCTGAGGCAGGACTGTCTGACGATTGTGAAGTATTGAGGGGCTGGATATCCTTCATTTGAACACGAGTACAAAATGTTGGGATGAGGACGATTTTGGAGGATTGACAATGAACGCATTTTAGGCAGGACTGTCTCACGATTTTGAAGAATTTAGGCGATATTGCAAAAGTTTGGAGGATTTTGGAGGATTGAGGATGGTTCAAAGGGCCTAGGGGGCTAGGGTTAATCTTTTTTTAAATGACTATTCCTGATGAGTATTGTACATTTCCAGGTCTCGAACAAGCCTTTTTATTTTTGCCTGGGTCCTTCATATCATGTTTTGTTATTCTGTATATATGGGGCATTCTATAAATTTGGGGTCCACTTTTTGTCCTGTCCCTGTTACATCTAACATAAATGATTTTATAATTCTGATGCATCCCTCAATCAGGGGCGTCAATCGCTTCTCAAAAGTGGGGGGGGGGGGACATACCTTGATCAGAAATAATGCAAGTGCAAAGCCCTTACAGCGTGGGGTTTGGGGCCTGCTTAAGGGCCCCGAAAAAAATCGGATTCTAGATGCTCATGTGGTGTGATCTGAGGCAATTTCTGACCTCTTTAACCAATATTTTCTTAGCAAAAGATACATTGTAGTACATAATAGGGCCCTGTAAATGAGGCACAAGTTCAAACATCTGGGGGGGGGGGGGGGGGACATTTGATATTGTGTCCCCCACCCTTCAAAAAGGGGGGGGGGGACATGTCCCCCTGTCCCCCCCCCAGGATTGACGACCATGCCCTCAATGTAGTCATTCTCCAAGAAACTAGAGTGGTTATGAATAGCAAACTACATGTACCTTATACAACAAATAGGAAATTGTTTGAAGTCATTCTTAATGATACTTGAACGGCAAATTACAAAATACCACGGTAAGAGGGACAGGAAAAGTGTCACGCTTTGGAACCTGAATTTATAGAATGGCCCATCATGATGCCAATGATCACATAAGACAGTTGTATACCATAAAACCTTAATTCTGACCACAACTCTTTTTTTTCTTGTCGCCCCGCTAGGAAATCTTAGCCCCTCTCACGGTCGTCGCCGACGGCTGCTTCTCGAAATTCCGCAAAAACCTCGTCACCACCAACGTGAAAACCACCTCCCACTTCGTGGGCACCATCATGAAGAACTGTCCTCAGATGAAGGACAACCACGCGGAGCTGGTCCTCGCCGATCCCTCCCCTGTCCTCATCTACAGGATAGGAGAGGAGGACACCAGGGTGTTGGTGGATGTCAGAGGAGCGATGCCTAAGGATATGAAGGGGTACATGACCGACAAGATACATCCGCAACTTCCAGGTATGATGAGTAGCTAAAGGGAAAACTGTTGGTTACGAGTTTAGGTTGTTCATCACCTGCAATCACTACTTCAGTCTCCTGACGATTACTAGAGCAGGCTAGACATCGATGACTAGAGCAGGCTCCTGACGATGACTAGAGTAGGCTAGTCGAAACGTTGAGACCAAAGACAAGTTCGTTTTTAGAACTTAAAGCAGGACTGTTCTTATCAGAGCAAAACTACTTAGCGAAAGTTGATAATAAGCAGGACAAGTTCTTATCGGAACTAAATATCTTCTAAGCAGAAGTTATTACCACATGGTGTTACCGCAAACCGAAACGATACCGATAGGGGAGAGGGGAGTGATGCAAACAGATATTAAAGGGTACATGGCCGACAAGATACATCGTCAACTGGCAGGTGTGAAAAAAAAAAAAATTATTCAGAGAATTTTTTAAAAATCCTTGAGGTTATCTTTTAAGAAGAGGGAGGCGATAGGCCTGGGAAACGAATAGAACTTTTAAGCTACAATCCTTCTTTCTGTGGACTTTGTCTGTTTTTGAATAAATACTGAATGCTTAAAATTCAGAAAAGAGTAAGAGTAGTCAGTATTTAATGTTTTGCAAAGATCACAGAAAGTGTGATGTATTTCATACTTCTTGCAGATCTTACAATTGTCATAAATGCTAGAATGACGGGATTTTCATGTTGTTATGATTTTACATCTTTTCTTGCACCTAAGATCACCTTCAGGAGCCGTTCCTCGACTCCATCCAGAACGACCGCATACGGAGCATGCCCAGTAGCTTCCTGCCCCCCGCGCCCATTGAGAAACCAGGGGTGCTACTCCTAGGTGACGCAATGAACATGAGACACCCTCTAACAGGTGGAGGGATGAGTGTTGCTCTCAATGACGTCAGGATATGGAGGGATTTACTGCAGGACATACCAGACTTGGGTAAGTCTAGCTTTTTACCCCTGGACCCAATAACCTATCGCGGTAGAATTGCGTCAACGCAGCTTTTGAAAGATTGTCCAATTACATGATATACAAATGGACGCGGAACGGGCAAAATTTGAGACAAGCGAAATTGAACGTGCAAAATTCCACAGGGTTGTCTAAGGGGCGTGGCTAACTTGCAAACGGCGATGGGTCAATTGGCTGAGAAAGTGTGACGTCATCTCCTCCCCGAGTCGGGCCACTTCCTCAACAATGGTTTACGCACATTCCTTAACTACACATGCAATGTACATTTAACATGCGCGATCACAGACAGCAAATTTTACAATTTAAATCCTACTGTTATAGAACATCTTCACAAAGAAGTACCTGAAAATGGTTAACTGCCTTTCAGGAGATCGTCACCACACCAGGGCCCAATTTCATAGCGCTGCTTAACAGCCGACTTTGTGCTTACCGAGCCTCCATCTATTTCATAGGGACCGTTAAGCAGTAAGCACAGCAAAAGCACGCTTAACCCCAGAAGAAAACTTTGCTTAAATCAGTGACGTAACAATAGAAATCTCCATGCGCGCGCAACCGTTAGCATGAAATAGCGCTTAAGCAGCAGCATGATTTTCTGCTATAGTAAGCACAACTTTTCTGCTTACTGTTAAGCAGCGCTATGAAATTGGGCCGAGAGAGCTGCTTAAGCACAAAATTTGCTTAAGCACAAAAACGTCTTGCTTAATAAAATCAGGTTACCGGCCAAAACTCCATGCGATTGTTATGCTAAGTAAACAACAGCTAACTACCAGTCACAAGCTATGTACATCACATGGAGTTTTGGCCGGTAACCTAATTTTACTAAGCAATGTTTTTTCGTGCTTAAGCAAATTTTCTGCTTAAGCAGCTCTATGAAATTGAGCCCAGTTACAACCACAGTCACGCTTATTAAGAGGAGAATCAAGCCAATAAGCCAGTTTGGTATTTCAACTGCGCATGTGCACAATGATATTTGGGATAATCGAATGCTCATCGAAGGTGCATGAATGCACACAGAGCATGCACGCATGACGCTCGCGTGTTAAAGGGAAAATATAACATTTGCAAACATCAAAAAATAAAACTACCAAATCATTTTGAAATACCTTGCTGGACTGTTAGTGAATGACAGTGTAAAGCATCCTGTAAAATCATGGCACCTGGTATACTGTCATTTTCAAGAAAAGTGGTATTTTTGTATCAATTTCCAACGCTGATCGGCCGATCAGCGTTGGAAACAACTGACTTTTTTTATCAAATACTGGCCCCAATTGACCATTACACTTGTTTGCAATCGATTTCACACCTATGAACGGGTACAAGCCAGCTAGACTGGTTCCCTGACCTTACAATTCCCCAAAGTATGTAAAATGCTCTGTTTCTTCTTATATGGAGTCAGGGAACCAGACTACAGGAAAATGATCGTTTTTCTTGGTTTTTATAGCATTTTCGAACCGAAAACCTAAAAAAGTCAGTGTAACTATATTTGCTATATATTTCCAACCCCCCAATTCCATCCATTTCTAAAAATTACAGCAAAAGCAAATGATGTATATTCCCTTTAATTACAAGCAGAATGGGCAACCGCGTAGCATCGCGTATCATCACGTCGGCGATTTTATCCCGAATGCCCTTTGGCATGGACTACTTCATCGAGATACAGAACGGTCTTATTTATGAAATGGATTTGCAACAGCCACAGCGAAACCACGGCGTTCTCTGGGCCGTTGCAACCAGTAATCACGGTTGCAACGAGTTGACCACTGAGTGAAGTCATGACTATCCCAGCGAATAGGGCCAAGTTCGGGCAAGGGCCATTAGTCGACTAGTGGTTGATTTGTGACGTACCTTATGCCTGCGCACTGATAGCAACGTGCAAACGTCTCTAGTCAAACGCTGGTCACAATGTTATCGCAAAACTTCTGGATCCTGGCTCTCTGCTAGCGTGATGAATGCGCGCGGCTATTGGTTACCAGCGAAGCAACCAACCCCAGTAGGCTGGTTCCAAATAGTCGACTAGCGTAGTCAACCACCGTCGACTAGACAGAGTTCGGGCAAACGTTAGTTAACCATAGGTCAACTACATGTATAGTCCTTGTGCGAACTTGGCCCAGGATTACCCCAACTAATGCACTCTGTTGTTTTATGAATTCATCAAGGAGTAACTACAGTGTAGTACATACTGTGTGTGTTCCTATGCAGATGACCATGACCGAATCATCCAGTCCATGCACTCCTTCCACTGGCAGCGGAAAAACTCCCACTCTTTTGTGGTCAACGTACTGGCTCAGGCCTTGTATGAATTATTCGCTGCCACAGATCGTAAGTTCATCATTTTTATAATATATTATATAACTTATATCATAACAAATACATGTTTGATTACATTCACAAACCTAAGTATTTCTTTTCTTCAAGTTATTTTTTGCAACACAGGCTCATAAATTAAAAAAAAAAAAATTGGCAACAATAATCAAGTCCATCACTAGTCGAATTACAGTTGAACGCCACTATAACGAACATTGCGGGATCCACAGATAATGTTCGTAATAGCGATCGTTCGGTGTAGCAGTTTTGAGTGGCATCCTCCGTTGGCCTTTGTTAGCGAACTAGCATTTCTCACATCTCACGGCCGCATGCGGAGTCGTCACGAAACTTCAACAACGGGTGGCTTTTCCCTTCTATTCCTTGGGGAAATAAAAGCCACCTGTTACTCTTCAACATTCAAGTCCAATGTAAGCATAGGCCATTTGAGGCTCGGGAATTAATTAATCAAAAATGGCCCAACATTTTTTGGATTTGTTGACCTGTATATTTGACGGTTTATTTTGTACACATAAAGCGAGAGCCAAGGATGACGTTTTGGTACAGCCAAATGTTCGGTATAGCTGTGTTTGGTATAGCAGTGTTCTACTGTACAAGTTCATCACCAGAAAGGACAAGTTACAGGGGATTAACAATGAAAAAAGGAATTCCTTTGTCACTTCATTTGTTGATTTGTGACTTGAAATTCAACAACTTGAGAGTGACTTGTGCGGACTTTGGGAGGACATAACTACAACTCTGATATTCTTGACATTGTACATTTTCAGGGCATCTGATGCAGCTGCGAAGGGCCTGTTTTCACTACTTCAAGCTCGGTGGTAAGGCTGTCTCGGGACCTGTGGGCCTTCTGTCTGTGTAAGCTGATATATTTTTTTGAATAACGATAGTTTGGGCTGAATTTCAAATAGCCGCTAAGCAGAAAGTCCTGCTACGCAAATTAGTGTGCTAGATGGAACAAAATAATTGAAACAGTGGATTTTGTTGCATTCTGTTGCATTGTGCAGTGAACCCAGTGCATACCAGCCTTGGCACCAAGCAGTTACCCTGCTAAATGCAACCAAACTGCAACAGTGGATGATGTTGCATTGCCTTGGCACCAATGAGATGCAACAGAGCACAGGGACTTGAGTTGCCTGCTAAATGCAACAGGATATGCAACAACTTTTTTACCTTGTTGCTTTCTGCAAAATGCAACCCTGCAAAATGCAACCAAACTGCAACAGTGGATTCTGTTGCATTGCCTTGGCACCAGTGAGATGCAACAGAGCACAGGGACTTGAGTTGCCTGCTAAATGCAACAGGATATGCAACAACTTTTTACCTTGTTGCTTTCTGTTGCATTTAGCTGGGTAAAGGCTAATAGGGAGGTCCAGCTTCAGGTATGCCTGGCGTCTACAAATTACTTTAATCTCCCATGAAAAGTAAGGTAGCACTTAAAGGGAATATACATCATTTGCTTTTGCTGTAATTTTCAGAAATGGAAGGAATTGGGGGGTTGGAAATATATAGCAAATATAGTTACACTGACTTTTTTGAGGTTTTGGGTTCGAAAATGCTATAAAAACCAAGAAAAACAATCATTTTCCTGTAGTCTGGTTCCCTGACTCCATATAAGAAGAAACAGAGCAGTTAACATACTTTGGGGACTTGTAAGGTCAGGGAACCAGTCTAGCTGGCTCGTACCCGTTCATAGGTTTGTAATTGATTGCAAACAAGTGCGATGGTCAATTGGGGCCAGTATTTGAAAAAAAGCCAGTTTTTTTCAAATGCTGATCGGCCGATCAGCGTTGGAAATTGACACAAAAATACCACTTTTCTTGAAAATGACAGTATACCAGGTGCCATGATTTAACAGGATGCTTTACACTGTCATTCACTAACAGTCCAGCAAGGTATTTCAAAATGATTTGGTAGTTTTATTTTTTGATGTTTGCAAATGTTGTATTTTCCCTTTTAATGACTAACTAGTAACAACAATAAAAGTTTGCATAAGTAGTTTTAATTTCTTAATTCCCACTTTTCTCACCCCTCTCCAGGTTGCAACCCAAACCCTTCGTCCTCATCGGTCATTTCTTCGCAGTGGCTCTTTACGCCATCTACTTCGCCTTCAAATCCCAATCCTGGTTGACCAAACCATTGGCCGCTGTCGAGAGCGTGTGGATTTTCGCCAAAGCCTGCATGGTGCTCTTCCCGTTGATCCTATCGGAATTGTACTCCGTCAAGTGAAAAAGAACATGGCAAATTTCAAGAAGCTAATTTGTATCATATATTACCGAAAAGCTGTATCGTTGATACAGAATTCCACTTATATCTGTTGGGCCCCGAATCAGGCACTTGTTTGATTGATTCTTTAGTGAATAAATGTAATATAATAAACACTGCAAAAAAAAACTCATTGGAGGTGTCTTAATTCTGAATCTGATCGCCTTAAATTATGAAGATGTCGTTTATATAGATCTTCGGGGAATGTTGTTAGCTACATTTTGATACCGTTTGCTACCAAAGACTGTAAATCGTCCAAGATTGGCAACGGTTTGTGAAAAATGATGCAGTTTAAAAAGTTGCAAATTTAAGGAGTACGCGGGTGGAAATTGATGTGTGACAATGTCACACTGCCCGAAACGAACGGCAGGGAATACCGATCGCACAGTGCTTGCATGCATGGGACCACGCAAATTGAATTTCCTGCGCTGCGTCTTTGGTAGCAACTGGGGTATCAAAATGTAGCTAACAAAGTTCCCCAAAGTCTATGTAAATGACGTCATCATATGACGATCAGATTCAAAATGGTTACCCCTCCAATGAGTGTGTACGTTCTTTTTTTGCGGTATTTACAATGAAGTACGTGTGCTAATGGATTAAATACAATATCTCATTGACCAGTATCTTTGTTAAAAGTGTGCTGTTAGAAATAATTTGAAATATTACAAATAATTTTTTGAAAAACATCAGGTCATTTCATCATATTTGATTTTCACTTGAAATTTTATTCCCCTTTGGTGCTGGAGATTTACCAAAAGAGCAGCTACTAAAGATTTTCAGGAATTAGTGTACAATTGTGATTCATAACAGCCTTTTTATACTGAGGGTTTGAAAAGGTTTGAATTTTTCATCACAACAGGGATATAATTTTTGTACATCATTACTGTATCATTAAATTACATGTATTTTTCTTATTGGACGACACTGAAGACATTCCAAATCATTGCCGCTATTGTAATTAGATGTAAATCCACATTTAGACTTTTCTAGATTTGGCAAGCAATATTAACAATGTACATGCACTGGCTTTTAAATGTTAAAATTGAATGAACTACTTCACTGAATGATAACTGCGTGATCCTGCAGTTTGACAGGTGATAGGTACCTCATTAAAGGGAAAATACAACATTTGCAAACATCAAAAAATAAAACTACCAAATCATTTTGAAATACCTTGCTGGACTGTTAGTGAATGACAGTGTAAAGCATCCTGTAAAATCATGGCACCTGGTATACTGTCATTTTCAAGAAAAGTGGTATTTTTGTATCAATTTCCAACGCTGGTCGGCCGACCAGCGTTGGAAAAAACTGGCTTTTTTTCAAATACTGGCCCCAATTGACCATCGCACTTGTTTGCAATCGATTACAAACCTATGAACGGGTACGAGCCAGCTAGACTGGTTCCCTGACCTTACAATTCCCCAATGTATGTAAACTGCTCCGTTTCTTCTTATATGGAGTCAGGGAACCAGACTACAGGAAAATGATTGTTTTTCTTGGTTTTTATAGCATTTTCGAACCCAAAACCTCAAAAAAGTCAGTGTAACTATATTTGCTATATATTTCCAACCCCCCAATTCCATCCATTTCTGAAAATTACAGTAAAAGCAAATGATGTGTATTCCCTTTAATGCTGCAATTCAACCTCAATATTATCTGTAAATTTTACTTTTATCTCGCGGGTTTAAATGTTGCTCTTGATTTCTGATTTTGATGGTGGTGTGCATTGTAGATTCTTCAGATGTGAATTATACGAGTTACTTTGACCTCTAGATATATTTGATTTAGTGATACCACTGAAATAACAAGGTGATTCAAAGTGTGCTATGAACGTCACCTCACCACGTGGAGATCTGAAAATACAATTATACTCAATAAGACACACAAAAGTACATTATGCTATCCATGTGTATTTATTTATCATAATTCGCCTTTGTAGAATATACATAAAGTATAGGTAATAAAGTGTGACATTTACAAACTGCATTTTAAAAGCAGAGTTTTGTTTTTGTGCGTTACAGTGACTGAAGCTTGACTTTAACCAGCATTTCTGAAATGCTGAATATTTGGCAGTGTTCCAAAGGGTTTATGTGTACAACTTTAAATGTCAGCAGTCAACAAATTAGGGGAAAAAGTTTCCTGATATCGTTTTCCACATCGTCCCAAATAGAACCCCCCTTTTACATGATATGAATTCTGCATACTTTTGACTAAAGGAATAATAGTATGGTAGAGCAGTTTAAAAGGTGAAGGGGCCTTGTCGCCATTAATGGCCAGAGTCAAAAAGTCAAAAAAAATGGCAACATTCCGATGATGTATTGTTCAACAATATTACTCTCTGTTCAGGCCACTTCTTTTTTGCGTGTTGCGCACATGGTTTGCTAAATCTCATTCTCCTTAGGGAGATCATATCAGTGGTTTCAAGCACCCAGTCGTAGACTAGAAGACGCACAAGGCGCGTACTGCGCGCATGTGACGTGGAGTGCACTGTCTCATATCGGTTTTAAACATTGCTGACCGTTGTTTTTAACATCGCTGACCGTTGTTTAAAACGTTGCTGACCGTCGTTTAAATAAGGGAATAAATGTGTGCTTTGGAGGTTTTAATCACTCTGTTTAAGACCGCTTGGAGTCTGGGTGCTGATAATTACCCGAGCCAAAGGCGAGAATAATTATCAGCACCCAGACTCCAAGCGGTCTTAAACAGAGTGATTAATACCGACTCGGCACATATTTATTCCTATTCATAAATACTTTTTCGGTCAAAAAAATCAAAACCTTTTTGGTCAAAAAAAGCTGATTTTGTTCAAGTTCACTTTATGTTTTTTGAAACACCCCTCTAGCTAATTAATGGAGTGTCCAATTCGCGAATATGATGTAAACAACTCCTTTTATGGACACTGGCGCGCGTAATGTGCGATGTCGCGCAGAATGCACCTGGGGCGTTGTGAATTTAGGACTATACAAATACTGACTCACTGGTAGTATTGCGCATGCCTACGTGAGGATTGTGAACGTTCAACCAATAAAATGGTTGGAGGCACTGGATTTGTAAGAGTCCGAATTTCATGGGACACTGGAAAAGTGTTTAAGACCAGCTAGCTATGTCTTTATCATCCATTTAAGACCGGCCATGTGACGGGCTCTCGACCAATAGGAATGGGTAAACTTTCTTAGGTATTTATGAATGGCGGTTTAAGACCACCCATGTGACACGCTCCCGACCAATTGGAATGGGTTAACTGTCTGGTATTTATGACTGAATATTAAAACAATCCATTGCTCTTAGAAGTATGATCACATGATCTGGTTTTGAGTAGACGCTTGTCACGCTGTAGCATTCCCTATGTACTTGTATTCATTTGTTGCCATAACAACATAAATGTTCCTGTGACGATGCTTCATGATTAACAACGATGATGTCATAACAGCTTGGACATGTAGGGACCATCGAGCTCATACCCAAGCTTTCGGTAGTAGTTCCTCGTTCCAACACCTGCAAAACAGAGCGATAGCGATACATGTCATAGAAAGGGAATCCATTTCAAACGAAAACAACTCCCTTCCCTTGAGGAAGTACTTGCTATATTGCTCATACTTGTCCTCTTCTTGTTCTGTACTGAAATGTACCCATCTAAAGCTCTTGGGTCCTGGAATGAGTACGGTACCTGTACTCGAGCAACTTTTACTTTAATGAAATTTTTACGGGACCAAAAGAGCCAGTCTATTGTCCACTGACTGAGTTACTGACTGATTGATTAAGTCGTGGAGTATAATAATATAATATTGGATTGCTTTGAGGGGGATACAAGAATAGCAAGTGCAATATATTCTTGTATCCCCCGAAAAAAAGTCATCCAATGTTATTATCATTATTTACATTAGGCTGACTATCCGCAAGAAACAAATTTCAGGACACTGCCTTTATTTCTCAAATTTCGCCGAATTATCACACCGCTCGAAGATGACAACAGTGCGCATATACCCTGCTAGTGCTGCGCGCTGCGTCCGCGTGCTGCGCACTGCGTCCGCGTGCTATGTTGACTGTGACTTTCTACGTGCAAGTCACCTTTGGCATATACTAAAGTGAAGTGGGGGGGTGTGATAGAGCAAGAGTTTAACATGTCCTTTCTTCTCATTGTCTTTTCTCTACATGTTTCTTCAGGCTTGTGAGCTACAGTGCCTATGACGCTTTTGAGAAATCCTCAGTTTCATTACCAAAAATAAAATACTACTACTAATAATAACCACTTGAGTCTTTGAGTAAAACATTCTCCCCACACATTGTTTCTTATCTGTGAACTGACCTGAGATGACGGCAATCTTGGATGCCCCGTGCTCCTCCACGGCAATCCTCTCTGCCTCATCCATCAGTAAGGTTCCAAAACCCTGATGCTGGAACTTACTCGGATCTCTGGAACTAACCGGAACCACACTGCCATAGCTGTCAAAATGTATACGTTAAGGTGTAAACATCACCTCTGTGGCAAGTGTTAAATAAAAAAAAAACGGTTGTCAGTACAGTAGACAGTTGAGTGGCCGACTTTCTTTTCTTGGATGAGATTTTTTATTTGTATCATACTAATGGAAATTTTTGTATGACCTACACCTAAATAGTGTTAGAGCGGGTTTTAGGATTTTAACCCAGAAGAGACAATGGCATCTGTGTTCTTGGGCAGGCCTCTTTATTACAATTGCCTCCATCCACCTAGCGATAAAACATGTTCTTACTGGTTAACTTTTCTAACTGGGTTTTGCCCTACATTGAAATGTTGTCGTGGGATTGCAGCTTTGAGCCCGGGGGAGATCATGATGCTCGTGTTCTTGGGCAAGACACTTTACTACGATTGCCTCTGTCCACCTAGCAGTACAACTGATAAACTACGACGGTGGAGAGCAGATTGCACTGATTGTCAAACTGCTTCATAAATCTACCTGAACTTAATGATTTGTCCTCCATTACTCAAGTCCAAGTTAGTCTAGGGTACCAGCAAGGGCTTAAGTTCCTTTAATAATGATAGCCAAATATTACACATGAAGTATGGGTTGGGCAGGATTCCTTAACTTTTCCATGACTGTTTTCTTTGGAATATTAACCTTCCATGACTCCTTGTAAAATAACAAAATTCCAGGACTATTCCACAACTTTCCACGATAGCTTTAAATTCCAGGATTTTTTCCATGACTGTGGAAACCCTGATAAAGGATACACATGTAGCTCTCGCACGATGGAGACACCTCCTTTAGTCTCTGGTCTGAACGTCTGATCAGAGCATTTCCTGAGTCTGAGAAGTCCGATCAGAATATCTTGTTCTGGGTCCTCGTAGGACAGGAAGGTCTCCCAACCTCCGTTTGCATAGTAATCCCGACGGATCAGCTCAACCTGAGAGGAAAGTGAAGCAAGAATGTTAATGAAACTACTGTGATAAAGTACATGTAAACATGTTACAAGGCACCAAATTGTTTAAGTTGATTGTATGGTGTCTCAACTCAGTTCCCAAGTACCCTGTAGAGGTGAAAAAGAGAGAGTGGTAATGTTGAAGGACCTCTGTGCTCCATCTTGCCTACTGCATGCTAGTAATTGTTATTACTATACTTTATACATATTCATGAGCGACAGCTGAATTCTTATTGGTCCATTCACCATCACGTCAGCCACCAGCTTTGTCATTTCCCAAGTTGCAGTGACTCCATCTGTCATTAAATTTCTGTTGTCTGTTACGCGTTTACTTGTGTAAACTCAAGTATCAAACAGTATGCTTTGTCATCAGACTGGATTCCAACAAGTTGTGAGGTTTCTGTAGGCTTGAGCTGGAAGCTTGGAGCACAGAGGTGTCACTGCACCACTACATGTCACTTTTCCCATTCAGAGTTTTAAGGGAAGAATCTAAAATTAATCAAGCAATTACATGTACCCAAGGTTGAACCCCGAGGTACGTTGTAAAACCCTGTAAAACCTTGTAGAAACTCAAGGTGAACCTCGAGGTACTGCTTGTTGTACGTTGTAAAACCCTGTAAAACCTTGTAGAAACTCAAGGTGAACCTCGAGTTACTGCTTGTTGTACGTTGTAAAACCCTGTAAAACCTTGTAGAAACTCAAGGTGAACCTCGAGGTACTGCTTGTTGTACGTTGTAAAACCCTGTAAAACCTTGTAGAAACTCAAGGTGAACCTCGAGTTACTGCTTGTTGTACGTTGTAAAACCTTGTAGAAACTCAAGGTGAACCTCGAGTTACTGCTTGTTGTACGTTGTAAAACCCTGTAAAACCTTGTAGAAACTCAAGGTGAACCTCGAGTTACTGCTTGTTGTACGTTGTAAAACCCTGTAAAACCTTGTAGAAACTCAAGGTGAACCTCGAGTTACTGCTTGTTGTACGTTGTAAAACCCTGTAAAACCTTGTAGAAACTCAAGGTGAACCTCGAGTTACTGCTTGTTGTACGTTGTAAAACCCTGTAAAACCTTGTAGAAACTCAAGGTGAACCTCGAGTTACTGCTTGTTGTACGTTGTAAAACCCTGTAAAACCTTGTAGAAACTTGAGGTGAACCTCGAGTTACTACTTGTTTAATTTCGAATTCTCCCTCTTACTTTACCTCATATGGTTTGACTTTATGATGAATCTCTTGTATTCCAACCTCTCTGGTTCTGACATCCCGACACTGTGTTCCAAGGTCCTTCATACGAGCGAGAGCAAGCTCACGGAGATTGCCGTGCTCCACACCCGAACTGACTAAGGGCATCGGGATATCTCTAAATTAAAGAACATAAAATTTACTTTGGTTTAAATTGCAGTTTATTACATCTGTGTAACGAGAGAAGAAAATGAAGCTCACGAAAGTTGCCATGCACCGTGCTGGAAACTGACGAGGGGCATTAGGATGTCTCTGGATGCAAGAACGTAAGAAATAATACCATGTCATGTCATGATTAACTCATGATCTGTGGGTAATTCTGCAGGTTGTGGTTCAAGTCCAGCCTGGGGTTTTGGTGTGTGTGCCCTTAGGCAAGGCACTTTTCACTCATTGCTTCTCCCCGCCCAGGAGTAAAATGGGTACCTGTGAGGGCAGAGATGGGTATTGATTTTAGCTGCTTTGTACCGAAATGGCAACAACGAACTGTACGTTTCCCACAGAGCTGAGATTGTCTTGTGAATGTTTCATTGGCCAATGAACAGAGGTAATGATGATGTAGTGCCCTGAACATCAGTAACGGTGGATATGTGTGGTTTATAAACACACAGTATTTTTAACATGATTAACCCTGCGGGCTGTGCAGGGGCTCACGCGCTAGTCCCTTTTTTTGTTTCTTCTTTTTTTTATGAAGCTATCGCCCAATTCCCTTGAATCTACATGTAATCCTAAAGTGAACCTTGTGGTTTGAGATGGTATGGTCGCTTTTCTTGTAGGAGTTCACTTGGGGGTCAGCCGCCCCTGGGAAAGTTGGGCCTCCAGCCAAAGACCATTCACTTGTGCACAAAAAAAGTGCTCTGTGTTGTACATACCGCCGTCACAACAATGTCATCAATCATCCTCTACTGCTGTCCCAGTGACAGCTGTCTAGAGCCACAGAAAGGCTGTCTCGACTGTTTCATGTCCATCTTTTTTGGGGGGATCCAACATGTAATGGTCAATCCAACATGTAATGGTCACAGGGCATGCAGTGTATATGTACATGACTGTGCAGCCACAATGTCTGTGAGTGACCTACTGGAGGGGATTCAATCTTGTGTGGGTTCGGGGACCTGCATTCATAATATTTAGACCATTAGAGAAAGCATTGTGTCCACAAAATAGTATTTTATACGCGAAATCAAAACTGCCTCACGGGTGAGCACCTCAGCTACGCGGCGTAAGTTTTTACGCTTAGCAGCTCGCAGGGTTAAAATATCTACAAGTAAGCCTTGATTATCTTACGATATCAGCCAACTGCTAATGACAGCAACAGATTGAAGCCCTTTGTCAACCCATTAGCCCCTGTACTGCCCCAAACCCCCTGCCTGCTACTCCCTGTACCACCCGAACTGTCCAAGCACTGTATGGTTTTATAGAATCTTAGGGAATAAAAACAATGTAAGACAATGTAGTGCAGGTGGTATACCTGTTTTTGTGTAATTTTTTTCTTTCAATGTCCATTTCTATATATATTTTTTGTATTCATCAATGTTCACAGTGGGTGCTCAATTTCAGTAATGGGAATGTTAGATTTTCTATGAATTAGTTTGAATCATTATCTGAAGTGACAAAGTTTGTATTTAGGTCTTGAACTTTCCATTGTTGGACAAACCTTTGCACTCTGTATACTCTGGTCCAGGGCGGCACCAAGGCAAGTATCCTAGCAACAAGGTCAATGAGCATGCCCGGTGGGTAGCTCTTGTATCGTCCCGTCTTCCACAGCTCATACAACCCTGTGCCCCGGATCACGAGGGTCGGGTAGAGTTTCAGCCCGTCAGATCTGAATGCCGGGTTTTCAAAATATTCCTAGTTTTACAAGAAGAAACAAAGATGAGCAATGCTAGAGAATGGCCTTCATTTGAAGACACGGTTTAGAAAATTGATTTTCCACAAGAAGAGAATTCAAAACTTGAAAACGTTCACATGCACTGTCTAAGAAACCACACATGTAGAAAGAAATCAGGGTTGGACTTTAGCGGTAGCCCCCTAGCCAAATGCTAGTCAAAATAGCGGCGGGCTAGTCAAACTATTCCTTAAGTGGCCCGGCTTGCTACAGCAAAGATGAAAAGACAGAAAGACATAAATCATTAAATTCAGAAAGCAAACCTGTATCAATATTTGTGTCTAATCTTCTTAACTGTTAAGGGTTAAATTATTAGATCTATTTATTAAAAACACTGACAAGATTGCCTCAGGATACACATTTTACATGTATGCACATTGTTGTTGATGAGACACTATATAGAAGAAAAACATGCGGGCTAGTGAAAATGCCCTCGGGCTAGTTAAAGAGTCTGTTTCAGTAGCCTGGCTGGCTAGTGAAAAAAAAAGTTAAGGTGAAACCCTGAAGAATACACCTGTAAATTGTAATACCCTTAGATAATTGATAGAATGGATTCTTTATTACGTGCAATAAGAGGTGCCACAAATCTGCCTATGAGAAACAATTATCCTTCAGTCATTGAAATCGACAACAGGCTTCACTAGAAGGTATGTGGGGTGGTGTGAAAACGATATTAACCCCTTTATGCAAACATACATTCTGTGCCAAGTTGTCCTTTCAATCAAAATCAATCAAGTGACTGTTTTCAACAGTTGCAGAGCTCCCAGCCTACATAAAGCAGGATTGACTGGCTGTGACTGTTTATGTAACTTGATACAGCTGTGCTGTGACTGTAGGTGATTGATAAGACAGCTGTGACACCAGTTTGCTGCTTTTGTCTGCTGACTGAATTTGACTAGTCAGAGTGCTCGCTTAAATCAGGCATGCAACTGGGAAGTCACAAAAAAAGAGGAAATTCAAATCTTTCCAAGACTTTGTACAGTGTTTTTCTATTTTTAATGGCACACATTGGAAGTCAAAAAAGAGGAAATCAGCTGATCCGAGGAAAAGTTGCATACCTGTTAAATATGATCTGACTGTTTGTGACTAGCCAATGTAAAAGGCATGGCGGGGGAAGTGGATGGACTTTTTGACTGTCTGTGACTGTTAAAACAGTAGGTGGGTTAATGGTTAGTCCACTGCGGTCTGTTAACTATTTTCTAGCCACATCCCGCTTTAAATTGGTGTGGCAATGCCAATGTTTCCGACAAATTGTCAGATTTTCCGATTGACTTACGATGAACTGCTCGATGTCCCTCTCCATGTCTACGTTGGGAAGATCCGGCATCATGTGAGTCACCACCTTAAAGCCAGCGTCTTTACACCAATTGAAGGATTCACAGACGGCCTGAACTGTGTGTCCGCTGCAAGAGATTGGAGAGAATCCAACTTAAATTTCATGGTCGCTGAAAATTACTGGACTTTTAACGGTCTTTTTCAGGTTGTTACTCCTAACCATCCCTTTAGGCGCATTACATGCTTTTCCATCAGTTCAAATCCATCATTGTTCTCAAAGCAAAATCTAGAAGTATTCATCCAGTTTTTTCCTACGCACTTCCTTCCTTATAAGTGCAGACATCATGGCTGAAGATAAACGCACTGCCAGAAACACCGGGGCAAACCCCTTCTCTTAGCGATAAGTGCTACCTGGGTTCTTTTACGTGCACTGCAATACAACACACGGGACCTACAAGTAATTTTTCTTTTTCTTAGCTTCCTTTTCTATCCCATCTTTGTGTAGCCCTCACCTCGAGTGTCCTTTAAATCTTTAACAGGGCCTCATGATTGGCAACACTCCCTCAAAAAAGTTCTCTAACTGTCTATTTGAAGGTAGCCTCGGTCAAGGCTTTGGTCGATAGTATCTGTGATGGTGTCTGGCCGCTAACATAAACACTAGCCGTCCACACACACTGTACGAAGTGTGAACAGCAACCTCACGCGGCTACAATATGCAATCAGCTGGTGAATAACAAATACCTTGGGACAATGGATCGACAAAAGCCTTGACCAAGGCTCAGTGGAAGTCAACTTGGCTGTGAAAAGTACTTTATTGAGCTTTTATGAGTAGTGCATTTTCTACACCAAGTGCCTTTCATAAGTGCCACATGTCAAATTATTCATGCTGTGAGTTGGCATCAGGGGTGTTAGATTGGCACAGTGGTTTCTTTCCTTGCCTTCCACCTCTTTGGTCCCAGGTTCGATTCCTGCACTGGTCCACATGTGGATTGGGTTTTCAGTCCCTACCTGATTCCGTAGGTTTCCCCCAGAATATTCTGGGTTTTTCCTCCCACCTCTAAAATGACAATTTCGTCACCATCTTTTCAATACATGTTTTTGCAGGCTTGCGATCTACATGTGTAGTGCCTAGGGCGCTTTTGAGGAATCCTTGGTTTCATTACAAGAAATAAATAATAATAATAATAATTTAAAGGTTAAAATACTCACCGATTGGTATCCCTTGCTACATCTTCATAAACACTCTGGACTCCGATCTCAAGACGAGTGCAGCCGTAATTCAACATGTCACTGTGATGCAGAGGAATAAACGTCAGACTGTTACCCCTCGGTATTGGAAGTTGACAGACTAGTTCCCGAGGAGAAACTTGCAACACCTCGGGGAGCTAATATGGACTATCAACCCTCAAACCATGTTTTATTTGTGTACTATTCAGTTATCTGCAAGTAAAAGTTGGTATCTTGCTTCTGATCGGGGAGGTTGGAGAGCACTACGACCCTCCGATGGTAATGTGCAACAGTAATAGTAGGCGGAAAAGAGTATAGTTTGTGCTGTGTACTCATCCCGGCATTCGAGGTCTTGGTTCTGTTTGACCTACCTGATGTGTCTTTTGAGACAGTAGTCTGGTCTCGTCTCTATGGTGATTCCAATGCATTTTGTCAGGCTTCTCTCCGAGTACCTAAAACATCAAGAACGTCAAAGCTGACACTGTAAGTTCTCCACGAGCAACTTGTGCACAATTCCAGTTTGAAAATCTTACCTTATTCCAGTTTTGATGAACCCTAAAACATGATTCTTTTTTTTTTAAACGAATGTCTTTCAGTATGATTATGGCTAGATAGACAGATAAAGACAGATATCAGAGGATAAAACGTTCAGGAAAAATATAAAAAATTAAATTCATAGTCTTTCAAACTAAGAAAATGGTTCTGAAAAAAAAAAAAAAAAAACCCAGAGATATAAACTCGACATTCCGGTCAGTTTGCTCTGACCATCTTCAGGAGAGTGCCTAAACTCTAAGAAAGTAAAGTACTTAGGTGTTTACTTTCTTAGAGTTTAGGCACTCTCCTGAAGACGGTCAGAGCATAATGACTGAAATGTCGAGTTTATATCTCTGGTTCTTTTAAGAACCATTCTCTTAGTTTGAGAAATTATTCCCACATGGTGTTTCCGCAAACCTTTTATTCGTTAGTTTCTCCACCATGCAAAGCCTCAAATCTTACTTGAATTCATAGTCATTTACATTCAAATCAAAACCAATTTGAATCCTGAGTTTTATTGGGCAGCGGTACATGAAAAAAGCAGTAAGCCGTTTTAGGTTTACCCTCAATCCTTGAGCAAAATGTTTGGGAAAAAAAGTGTCTGTTTTAACTTACTTGACTGCCTCAGAAACGCTGTCGCTGGTGTGCCCCGACAGAGCGTCATGCAGATTACGTATGAAGTAATCTCTGTACTCCTCGGACAGTGACATAAATGTACCACCCATGACGATAAACTCCACTTTGTCCACGCTGTGACCAAGCTGCTTCAGCTGAAAATAATCAGATTTCACAGAATTCTCAACATCTACTTGTGGATTTCTTTTTACAAAGAGATGTAGTTCTTAGGACCAGAGGTGTTGAAATTTTGAACGACTTCTCTTTTAGAAAAAAACATGTAGTCACTTTGAACAGTGTGTTCTCACAATTCTCCCAAGTTGTACTGTCCACAACGCAAACCCTCAGATCACAATTAACATCCATTTTTTGGTTCCAAATTCTGGCAAGGGATGGTACGATCTTGAAAAAAACAATTGACATTTATTTTTAAGTCATTTCAGGGAGATCTAAGTCTCAATAAAATGTTGAAGGGGAAATTGTTGCCGTACAGGATTATAAGCATTTTATAAGCCATTTCGGAGTTACAAAAATGTACTACTGCACGTGCGCACATCAGATTCAACGATTTAGTGTCGAAAGATAAACAAAGCAGATAAATACACACAAGTCTATGGGGGACGTGGTATTCGAATCCACATTTTGCAATTTTGTTCTAGTAAAACAGAAGATGGAAATTTTTGTTCGCACAAAAGTTGGAGCACACAAAACAACGTAAACCATGGTGCCGTTGAAAACAATCAACATTTTGCATCTACTTCAAAATAAGAACTTTTCTTGAATTTCGTTGGTACCCCGCTATGATTTTGCACGCGTGTGGCGAACTGTGTATCCCCCGACCCTAATCGTTGTCATGGGATGTGCGCATGCACAGTAGTACATTTTTGTAACGCCGAAATGGCTTATTGAAACCACCTAGCACGTTATCTACCCTTATCCCCCTACAATCATAGCAAACAAACTTTCACACGAAGCAAAGCACACTTTGATCTTCCTTGTTTTGTATTCTGTGTGGAACATTCTTTCCACAAAGTTTTAATAGGGTCTTGGCATTAGAGTCAGACTAAGGATGTGACGTTTACACGCTTAAACAAAAACAATTCAAAATCCGTTTACAAATTTTCCACAAATGTTAAAAGCTGAATTATAAAAAAAGGGACAGGCGTTCACCATTCACGCAGTCTTCCTTTGAGTTAAACCAACATAGCACAAATAATTAATGATGTTTTCAAACCTATTTCATTTACAAAACCTTTGAAGCGCTTCAATACTTGATTATATTCGGGGCACACGTAGTTAAGTTTTTACGTTCTGATGACTGCCATTGTTGATTTATCATGTCAATCACACCGGTTTGCAAACGTAATGAGCATGCATCAGCCTTTGTGAATGGCTAAACGTTTAAACGGTTCTGAAAAAATATTTGCTAAACGTTTACAAAATTAACTGCAAAGTCACATCCTTAACCATAACTCCCCAGCCTAATTTACTAGGAACCATACCCATTCAGGCAAATTCCAACACCCACATGGGAAATTGTACACACACACTGTTGGACTTAGTTTCTTGAGGTATACCAACCCCAGTGTGAACGACCATCACTTTAGGGGTGCTGTACCTATCCCAACAGATTGAAACAAAACCTGCTGTTGAACTTTGATGGGTTGTGTTCGGTTAGGGTTAAGTTAGACACTACAATAGTTCTTAAATGTGGCTTTTCTTTGATTATCTTTAGGAATCAGTGGCATTACTAAGTGTTCATACTCACCTGATCAACCCTATGCCTTGTTTGTAGATAGGGGTTATATCTTGCTCTGATAGCACGCATGGATGTTGGCTGAAAGAAAATCACAGTAAAAAGAATTTCTTTCAATCCATGAGGTTAAGAATCTACATGTATGGGTCAAGTTCGGGCAACAACCATTAGTCGACTAGTGGTTGATTTGTGTCGTACTGTACGCCTGCGCACTGATAGCAACGTGCGAATGTCTCTAGTCAAACGCTGGTCAAATTGTCATCGCAAAACTTCTGGATCCTGGCTCTCTGCTAGCGTTATGAATGCGCGCGGCTATTGGTTACCAGCGAAGCAACCAACCCCAGTAGGCTGGTTCCAAATAGTCGACTAGCGTAGTCAACCACCATCGACTAGACAGAGTTCGGGCAAAGGTTAGTTAACCATTGGTCAACTATAGTCCTTGCGCGAACTTGGCCTATGTTGATAATGAAATTGTTTAAGCAATACTTTGATTTAATAGGTAGCTGTGTGGATATCCACTATTTTGACGATATCAGCATTGATTCCTAGTTGTGATTAAAATTGACTGTTGGAAAGGTTAATTTGCTCCACTGAGACTAGCAGACTCAATATTTCCTGTCATGCGGATGTGTGGATCTCAACTTATTACGCCTGTTGCGGATATCAGCATAGTTCTTGGTTTCTAACCTCCTAACCAGTGGATATCTACTTGATGTTGCAGATATGTGTTGAATATTGAATATCAGAATCTGGTCTAGCAAGGCAGTAGACACCAATATTTCCCGTGATGTTGACGTGTGGATATCAACTGATTATGTTGTGGATATCAGCAAAGTTCTTGGTTAATGACTGCCTAATCAGTGTACGACTGTTGAATATTCAAAATCAGAGTCTGGTCCACCAGGGCAATAGATACAAATATTTCCTGTCATATTGATGTGTGGATATCAACTGATTATTGTGGACATCTTCATAAAGATCCTGGCTACTGATCTCATAACCAGTGTATAATTGTGTTGAATATTCAAAGTCAGAGTCTGGTCCACCAGGGCAGTAGACGCAAATACTTCATGTCATGTTGACGTGTGGACATCAACTGATTGTTGTGGATATATCAGCAAAGTTCTTGGTTACTGACCTCATATCCAGTGTATGACTGTGTTGAATATTCAAAGTCAGAGTCTGGTCCATCAGGGCAGTATGTACGCAAATATTTCACGTCATGTTGACGTGTGGACATCAACTGATTGTTGTGGATATATCAGCAAACTTCTTGGTTACTGACCTCATATCCAGTGTATGACTGTGTTGAATATTCAAAGTCAGAGTCTGGTCCACCAGGGCAGTAGACGCAAATATTTCATGTCATGTTGACGTGTGGACATCAACTGATTGTTGTGGATATATCAGCAAACTTCTTGGTTACTGACCTCATATCCAGTGTATGACTGTGTTGAATATTCAAAGTCAGAGTCTGGTCCACCAGGGCAGTAGACACAAATATTGCCCGTCATGTTGATGTGTGGACATCTGTGGGGCTTGCACATCACTGCTACAACTGCAATCTGGTTTTTTTTTTAAAAATCAGAAAATTGGGGAAAACAATTATGTCAAAGATAAGATGAATCAGTAAGGCCAAATAAAAAAAAAATGTTTTGTGTACCCACCACCTTCCTTTTTAGAGGCCCCCTCCTTTTTTTCTTTTTTTTTAAACCCCCAAAATGATAAATTTTAAACAGTAATTCATCATTTTGGCCTCTTTATCTGTTGCATGTAGCCCATATAAAGCTGGTATGTGATTTCCTGAATCTAAGTGGCGACCATTTAAAAAAAAAAGCTGACGGCCATCTTGAAAAAATAGTCGGGTCGGGCGGCCATTTTGGAAGGGAAAAAAAGGGCCCACTCTTTCCTTTTTTCAAAAAGGCAGGATTCTAAACATTTTTTTTTTACTTGGCCTAATGGTAGAATTCAGATGAAATAGCACTGGAAATGTGTTCTTGATTTCAAGAATTCCACCTATTCAAATTCCACCAGGGGCACCATGCCGACTGATTTGTCAGTTTTATTGGTCTTGCACAGTCTTCCAGTTGCTTTTCTCCAACAACTAAAGAACAAAAGAATATTCTGTTGGATTTCTCGCATCACTTTCTTGGCAGCTTTCCATGGTTTTGTCTGCTTTGGAAATGTTACAGACACGACAGCCTAATTTTAGTGGTCGGAGAAGAAGTGGTGATTCAGATATCCATTTGTCTTCAGAAAGTTTGTTTCTAGAGCTTCTTTAACTTCTCCACCACGACCTGACCAATAAATTGTCAGAACTGATGAAATTGTCAATACTTACCCCACTGGCAGTACGGATTGGTTTCGCCCGCAGCTTAGGAATAAGAACCTGAAATGTACAAACAAATAAACAAACAAACTATAATCAATTCTTTGTTTTCATTAACACAACACGTGTCATCCACTTTCTTTAATCTGCTTGAATGCTTAAACTCCTTACAAAGTTGTAAATTTTTGTTTACTTAGGTCTTGATTGTATTTGATTTGATTTGATTTGAAAAGTTTAAAAGTGGCATTTCTACTGTTTACAAAATGAGTGTCGTTAAAGGTATAGTCCATCATTTGTAATTTGTGCATTTTGTTCGTTTGAAGCAACAATAGTGATCAAATTCTAAAGAAGGGTGCTGAACAGCTAACCTGATGAAGTTTCAGCTCAGCTTCAGCTGTTTATTCCGAGAAAAACAGCATTCTAGGATCTCGATTTCAAATCAAAAGTTGCTGAATCATGTTTTGAATTGGGCCTGAATTCAGCGTCCGAGACACGTTCTTACTGAGCCGAATGCAGCTACGCGATGTCGCGCACTGATCTGACGAATTATAGTGTGCGTTGTGCCAATGCTTGCGCGCACTTCGCCTATTGAAAAAAAACGAACTACTAACGGAAATTTCCAACGGTGCTTCTTAAGACGCACCGTTGGAAAGGCCTTCTTTCGTTGATTTCTTCAAAATGACAGCTTGCCAGAAAGAATAAATTCACAGGGAGTTTAGTCCCCTTACTATCTTTCAACCAAGTATGTTTTTCAACAATAAATACGCCAGTTATTTTTTGGATGGCTGCAAATGATGGACTCTGGCTTTAAAAGAACAACACTTACCTTTTTGTGTGTTGAGGGTACTGCGGCAATAATGTCCACAAGTCTGGGTTGGGATGACAGGCCATACTTCTGGGATGTCAGACTCTTCATCCTGATAAAACAAAAAGTACCAGAACATGATGTAAGAATGATGGTAAAAATGCAAGCTAGTGATCTCATGTCAACAATCTCCTATCCCTATCTGTTTGATGCCAAGTGCTAACTTCTGTGGGATTACTTGTAGATTCTTGGGTATTGGTAGTAGTCTAGGGGCTAGACGTTGTTATGGTTTGATACGCGATAACCCGACGCCACGACAACCCGCCGCTGTGAGAGGGCGTTATCATGACCAACCAATATCACCCACGAACCCGTCAAGAACAACGTCTAGGGAAATTCACATCGGTTGTGTAATGTGCGCGCACCTGTTTGGCCTAATATATGCAGCGCGCATTCAAAACATTTCATTGCAGTTCCGAACCAAACTCTTAAATTTCTTCCAGTAGTATAAAAGATGCAGCAAGACTTTTGTGCAACTTCACTGGTCAGCTCTTTTGTGGTGTGTAGTGTGCGTGGGACTGAAAATGGACCGTAATTGCCTGCAGAAGTAGCGCATGCGCACTAGTTTCCCCCATTTTTCGGGGGGAGATTTTACAAATTTCCCTATAAGCTAGACGTTGTTCCTGACAGGTTCTTGGGTGATATTGGTTGGTCGCTATAACGTCCTCTCACTGCCGCGGGTTATCGCTGCAGCGAGTTATCGTGGCAGTGGGTTATCGCGTATCAAACCATAACAACATTTAGCACCTAGACTGGTAGACCATATATTGGTAGACCGCTTTCCATTCCTTTCTAATCCATACAATCATTGATCCCAAAGCAAATTCTAGGAAGTAGTCATCCAGTTTCTTCCTGAGCACTGCCTCACTATGGAGCTTCTTACCTGTATCCTGTTTTCCCGAAATTCTCGTTGATTTTATTCTGTCCCAGTTCAAGTGTAACGTCAATACTGATCTTTCTACTTCAAGCAATTTGTCTCTTTTTAGCTTCCTTTCCATCTTCGTGTTGCAGTCACCTCGAGTGGCCCTTAAATAGGGCCTTGTGCTGGGCGACTATCATAAAAATTGATGATTGCACAATATCTTGTGATTTGATGTCCCAGTCACACCACTGTATATTTAATACGATTAAAGGTGAAGGGACGAACCAGTGTCCACAGGAACGGAGTGCCCATCTCTCTTTCATTAGCGATTGGGCCAGACTCATATGCTGCTGTGGGGGGATCGCCACACCTCCTCCACAGCGAGTCTGTTACCTTCCCAGCATTGAATAATGCCGGTACCCATTAACACCTGGGTTGAGAGGAGTAATTGAGGTAAAGCGCCTTACTCAAGGGCACAACACGCATAGCCATGGCGGGGCTCGAACCCACAACCTCACGATCATGAATCCTGTGCTCTACCGCTAGACCACGCGCCCACAAAAACGATTGGTACCTGTTTAAATTGACATCTTTGCTTTGCTCGTGGGCCACGATGAGTTGGTTGACAATGTCAGAAACAGTCATCACCATCATCTCTGCGTGTGAAGGTTGAGGTCCTATAAAGTAAATGTTCAATGTACGATTACTGCTTTTGCTGCGGTCAGTGTGGATGAAATCTTGCATGGACTTGAGCGATAAGAATGCAAGACAGCATAATTAAAGAGGGCTGCAGCCTCTCTCTTCCTGGCGATTGTGTAGTTCAGGCCTTGTTCAAGAATCCGTTTTAAGTTATTGGACTTACCAAAATAGTTAGAGAGAGTCGAAGAATATCTACTCGGCCGTCTGTCATCGTTTGCTGTCGACTGAGGGCGCTTTAAGTAGACCAACTACAGCGCGGCTTCCAAAAAGCTTTTACTTTCTCTCGCACTATCAAATGAAAGCTGTCGTGTAGATAGTCAAGAGAGTTAAAGCGTCCTCAGTCGACAGCCAACGATGACAGACGGCTGAGTGGATATTCCTGCGATCTCGGTAAGCGAGAACCTTGTAAATTTCAACATTTCATATGACATTTCAAGGATTTTGAATCAACGCCAAGGTACCTGGCCGTATCAAGATAAAAAGTACAAAATCCTGGGGCCGAAATGTTTGTGACACAAAATTGACAATTTTCTGCAACATCACATTTAATAACGTTATGCCTATCTGTGTAAGGTTTGTAAAACATCACAGTTCTGGAAGTACCTTGATTCTAACTTGACCAAAACTAAAGAGAGGCCTGTAACTATGCAATTGCCCTGTTTCTTTTGTTTGCTGTCACTGACAATGACATACGTATACAGATCCGCCAATAATAAGGATTTAATCGTGGATTTATAAGACTAAGAGTAAGACTAGTAAGAGTATATATAAATGACATTAACATGAATAATGCCTTCACTGTTAATTCACTCCTTTTCTGTCAACATGATCAATAATCTCTTGTTTGGTTGTTAATTCAAACGGCAAGGATATCGTCAGACCCCCCAAAGCTATGCGGTCCTATTTCTACGCACTGCTCACCTTTAGCTGGAGTTACTCAGCCCTAAATTTTATCATTGGGTTGTCATTTAGGGCTGGAGGACACTTTTCACTTAAACCAGCAGCGTTGGCTGGTCCCCAAAAAAATTGCGATTGCGACACTAATTGCAACTGTAACTCACCCCAAACTTGCCTGGAATAACCATTACACAGGTCCTTGAAGTAAAAAACGATCCACGATGAAGATTCAGCCTACAATTGCAGTGAAAAAAGGAGGAATAACCGCTAACCTGACAACCTTGCAGGCATGGCCAGGACCGCAATTGGTTTGTGCACAAAAAAAATTGTGTACAATGAATGGCGGTCGATTACCAGGCACAGCGCGCTGTCAACTAGTCGTTTTTGCCGGCTGCGCTGGCTGTTGGCGCATGACGTCACGCGGAAGCGTAACACCCGATGACTGTTTCATGCACAATCGGTTGCGGTTCCAGTACCGCAGCTGTGATGCAAGTGGAAAACTTCATATTAATTTTTTGTGACCTGCCTACGCTGCTGGGTTACGTGAAAAATTATCTCCAGCCCTAGATGACAACCCAATGATAAAATTTAGGGCTGGGTAACTCCAGCTACGTCAGTGTACGTAGGCCTAATTAACCAGACAAAATGCAAAATTGAAAATGATGTAATCTGGTGGTATTAATGATGAGTAGCCTACATAGAAATGGAGTTCCTGTCTGGCTTACCCTTTTTCTTGTTCTTTCCCATGATGTCTCCTGTGAATTTTCCTCAAAACCTGCAGTGAAAAGAACTTGAAGTTGCTCAAAATCGCAATATTGTGTCATGCAATAATTGCACAATGTGAAATACGAAGTAGAGAAGTGAACTAGAAGTTGTACACCGCCCTCTTTTGTCAATAATCTGCAACATTGTTCAAATTGAGGGCGCTATAATAATAATAATATTCTGAAGATAACAATTTTTATTTCTAGCGAGTTTTGCCCATAAGATTACAGATTTGAAGATAATACATTTAACAGTTAAAGGGAAGATACAACATTTGCAAACATCACAAAACGAAATGATCAAATTATCACAAAATACCTTACTGGATTGTTAGGGAATGACAGTCTAAAGCATCTTGTAAAATCGTGGCTCCTGGTGTGCTGACATTTTCAAGAAATATTTTGTATTTTTCCAACGCTGGTCGGCCGACCAGCGTTGGAGAAAACTGGCTTTTTTTCAAAAACTGCTCCTATTTTTTCATAATTAGTTATTCCGTGTTTTCTTTGCAATTGATTACACACCTGTGAAGGGGTACAAGCCTGCTAGACTGATTCTCTGACCTTACAATTCCCCAAAGTCTATAAATTCTCCGTTTCATCTTAAGTGGGGTCAGGGAATCAGACTACAAGAACATGAATGATTTTCTTGGTTTTTCTAGCATCTACAAGCCCAAAACGTAAAACAAGTCATTTTAACAATATTTGCTTTAACATACTAATCCTCCAAATCCATTTATTTCTGAAAATTGCAGCAAAAGCAAATGTTAACGTACGTTGTACACATGTACATTCCCTTTAAGGACAAGATGTGTTTCCTGATGTTGCAGTAGTAGCCAAAAAGGCCATTCAGGCATTTGAACTGACTCACTAACTTTCTTAATTTGTATCGTAAATCAAATTCTGGAATCAAATACATACGACATAAAAAGGCCTATTTGCATCGACGACATTCAGGAAACAAGTTTTAAGCAAGCTGTGCTGATCAGGGGGCCACTGAGGGATTTATGTATATGTCCCCCTTCGGAAAAAAAAGTAGGACACAAAGGTGTACAAACTTAAATGGCAAGTTTGAAACCGTGGTTCCGATGCACGGGATGCTTACAGTGAACATTCAAGAAATCCCTACACTGTACTTGGAGGATGACTTCAAGTTATATGATGGATCATTCCCCTGTGATCGAGAATCTAAAACCCCACCACATCCCACCAGCATCCCACTGTAGGAAGTAGGATTGTATTTCAAGTCCGTGAATGCGGCGTTACATACATTGGCCTAACCGAAGGAGTCCTATCTCTGCAGGTGTATCCCTAGATAAAGTGGAGGGGCTTACAGGTGGATTACAAGACGAACAGGTGTAAGAGGGAAGTTCGAAGGAAAAAAACCTCAAGGGTGCTTTGGTGAATGGCGCCCCCTTGCCGCCCCTGGGCAGTTGACTCGAACGATCAGCCGTGTGTGAGTGAAATCTGGATTGTTGCTATCGACGACGAGCTGGCTGGTGAGCGGTTCCGTGAAGTTTCCTGATACTCAGGATCACTCCCTTTATGCTTAGTAAGATGGGGAAGCATGAAGGAACCTGTCCCAATCTATATTGAGCCCGTAATATGTGTTCCCCACCCGTCACTTTAAAGTTGGTATATACGTGCTTTTTCAAAATTTCGATTTTCTTTTCCGAAAATAAGTCCCGCAACAAATACATTTGCTTGTTTATTTTTGCAGGCCATACAGTTTTGAAAAAAAATTGGTTTTAAATGGTGCGCTCCAGTTCAGAAATTGCGCACAATATATTCAGAACGAATTAGTAGCGTCCCGCTCTTAATTCAAAGGTTGAAATTAATTAAGTGATTACTTGTCGTGGGCCGATATTATCGTGCGATGTCTCAGTATAGAAAGCTCATAACGTAATGCTAGAAATTGTCAATTCAAATTGAAAATCTATTCTCAAGGTGCCACACCAAAAAAGCACGTAAACGCCAACTTTATATTACGATTACGTGCTCATACAAACCCAAAAAGATGTAGAACTTTTTAAAATAACCTTCTTAAACGGGACGCGCCCAGGGCAGATCAATCTTTGAGGGGTAGCTGTCAAGTGGAGGGGGAGTAGCAGATTTCTTTCTGCCTTATTTTCCTATTTTTGCGTCCCAAGGGATGGGGTGGGGACCCCCTAAGCCTCGCCCGGATTCATCCGCCACTTTCGCCAATTCCTTTTGGCAAGACTACTATAGGTGGAGGATTGTTTTGATCGACAATCTCTCTCCTTATTTGGGTTTGTTTGCGCTTGGCATGCACGTATTGATTCAGTGTTCACCAACGTTCTCAATGTTATTATTAAGCTAAACTTTAATGCAGTGTAAAACCTCCCCAACTCCATTAAAATCCATTCCCCCATTTCGGTGGATTTTGGGGGACTTGGTCCCACAGGCCTGGTTTGACTAAATATTGATGGAGTATGATGGACTTGGGCCTGGATGCCAAAAGCAAAGCATGCATTGGAAGCAGTGTGATTGATGGATTTTGGCAGACTTGGTCCACAGTACAAAATGTACTTAGTGTATAGGGAGTTAGGGTTAAGCTGAAATTTAATTCAGCGATTATGACCAAAACAGTTACTGTATTGTTTTTATTTCATTTTTGTGAGAGGTTGTATGATCGATGCCAATAAGGCATCATGTTAATTTCCATGTTAATTCGCGAGTACAGTATGACCTGAGGCAACATAATTGTAAGCTCGAACGTACCCATTATCCTGTAGAGCCATACTCGCCCCTCAACGGTAAACCATCCTTGAGTACTCTCGCCCAGGATTATGTGCTCAAAATATAACCAGGCCCATCGTCAACGCTTCTGGAGTATGCTCATCATCAGGTCTCGCATGTAGCGCTAAATGATTGAACTAAAATTCAATTTGTTTGAATTAGATCTGCATCCATGATAAGGTGTATGCAAGCAGCGGACAAGTGTATGACATCGTAATGTAATAATGCAATAATTACGTCAAGGACTTCGTGCTAACCTGATGTAAGCTTACAGCTTTAAAGCTGAAGCGCCGACTGTGACCCCGCATGCTCATGTACACAACCTGTAAAACTTGGCGGATGCAAGGGCGGATCCAGGCCGGGGGGGGGGCAACCATGCTCCCCCCTAAAAAAAACCGAACCCAATATTTCTTTGTTTAAGTGTCGTCGCAATAAAGGCAGTCACTGCGTACACCGCCATCTTTTCCTCAAAAATAAATTGGTTAACTCAGATGGCACCACAGAGCATATAGAATCAAACAAAAATCCGAACCCCTCGCCGTAATTTTTTTTGGCCCACTTTATGGGGGAGCACAATTCCCCCCCCTCCAATTGTGTTCTGTGTTCGTATAGCCATGCAAGTCGGCAAAATTAAAAAGTTTTTTCAATGTTAGATGATGTCTCAAAACCACCAAACTCACTGGTTTGACTGGAATCCTGCTGCTGCACAATTTGAACGTGTTTTATATGGGGTTACGATCGAGTATAAGCTGTATGTGGCCTCTTTAGGCTCCCATACATTTTGCACTAAATTTAGACGGGCACCATTTGCAGGCGTCAGCCGACATTTGAAGAAAAAAAAAGTAAAAAAAAAAAAGCCGCGTCTCCGCCTCACCATTTTTGGGGCAAGCTCCATACCAGAAACCGAAGACTTTTGTGGGTTTTTTTGGGCCTAAATAGGCAAGCCTCGTCCTAGACCAGTCCAATTTACAAGTGACAGTCGGTCAGTCGGTTAGTGGAGAGATAGGTACACAGTCACAGAGAACACTAGGCTTTCCCTCGGAGACAATCAGAAAGTACGAGAATTGCTTTTAAACACTCAAGATGAGTCTAGAAGCCCATTCCCGAAATCTTCGAGTATCTTGTAATCACTTGAAGTGTTCCACTCACCGAACCTTGTGAGCACGATTAGTCCTCAAAAATCTTGCGTCTAAACGGTGTTACAAAGCTAACATCCCAAGCTCGCGGATCACCCACATCGTATGAAAGAAACCTAGTCTGTTAAGCAAACATCTCATGTCCGTGAAATGTATCCCTGAGCCTGCTAAGGACACAGAGGAGATTCCTTTTCATCAGCTGTGAAAGGGGTTGAATTGACCATGGAACATAGGGTCTACGTGCATCATGCACGGACTGGGTTTTAATAATCAGTCAAATTTGTTGTTATCCTGGAAGACAAGAAAGTAACATGGAGTTTGAGTCTGCAATTACAATCTTAGCTTAATACTTTCGGGTAAAGGTGATGGAGAATCGTTTACGGTTCTAGAAGTGGGAGGAAAAAACTGCTGGTGATTTGTTATTCCTGGGGAAAACTGACAGGAATCAGACTGGGACTGAAAACCGAATCCACATGTTGGCCCAGGCGGGGATCGAACCTGGTTCACAGAGTTGAAGGTGAGAAAGTACCACCACACAACTCTTATTTCCCCTTGCAACAAATAGGCCTACCTGCAGGAAAAAGACATTCATGTGAGCGCCTTAACATTCGTGCTTGAAGCGGTCACATCTAGCGCTTGCGAAGTATTAATCATGCACGTGCATAAATTGATTGTGTTCCCCTACTCAATTAGCCGTTGTACAGCTCAGCCCCACCCCGCGGGAGTTCTCATTTTAAGGGAACACTTGGCCCCCTTTTTCTTTCTATCTGCACCTTGCACTCAGCCCACCTTTCCGCATTATGTTGACTGCCTTTCACAACATAACAAGGCTGACCATGAGGCTTAAAGAATACTAATACTGTGTAAAGAATGGTGTACATAGTACATGCAAGGGCGGATCGGGGGGGGGGGGGGCAAAGGGGGCCATTCCCCCCCCCCCCCCAACGGATCCAATTTTTTTTTTTAGTGACTTCGCAATAAAGGCAGGCAATGAGTACACCACCATCTTTTCCTCAAAACATTGGTTAAAGTGGTCAGCAATTGCCTCAGATCGCACCACAGAGCATCTAGAATCCAAAAATGTTTAGGGGCCCTTAAGCGGGCTCGAACCCCACGCCGTAATTTGTTTGGGCACACTTTTTTGGGGACCACATTTTTTTGGGCCCCCTCAAAAAATTGTGTTCTGGATTGCCCTTTGAGTACATATAAAGACTGAAC